AGCTCCTGACCCTATCACCCCCATCCTCACCCCCACCAGGCTCCGTGACCCTATCGCCCCCATTCTCGCCCGACCCCACTGGCTTCCCAACACACAGAAAATACAGTTCAAGATCCTGGTCCTCACCTTCAAAGCCCTCCATGGCCTTGCCCCCTATCTCTGCCACCTCCAAACCCCCTATCAACCTGCCCACTCCCTCCACTCAGCGGGCTCTGACCTGCTTCACATCCCCTGCCTTGCCTCCCCACCATTTGCGGGTGGGCCTTCTGCCACTCTGCCCCCATCCTCTGGAACTCCACCCAGAAGTCCACCTCACCCCCTCTCTTACCTCCTTCAAGACCCGTCTCAAGACCCTCCTCTTCGACCATGCCTTTGGTCACCCTCCTTCCCCCCCCCCCCACCGTGCCCTCCACCCTCCCCAATCTCAACCCCCAGCTCGGGTCTGAAACACTGACTGTGCAGCGTCATGGGACATCCTCCCGATGTAAAGGCGCTTTATAAATGTAATTTTGCTGTTGTTTTCCGTCCCCCCAATAGCTGATATGTTGCTCTGGGACGCTACCCCGTGTGAAGGGCACTGTATAAATGCAAGTTAGAGTGTGCGATGGGGTAACTGCTGGTGTCTAGCTTGCCATTGATATCGCTGTCTGTCTGTCAAGCTTTCCTGCTGCTTGTCCAGCTAGGACCACCCTACCCATTCGAGCTTTGGTTGCAGAGTTAACATGATCTGAGTGGGAGGATTCCCTGCCCCCAGTGACTGGTTTGCCTTTCTAGGTCCTGCCGATGAGCCAGGCTGACCTGTGCTGTCATCAGCCGTCACAGAGGGCTATCTCAATTCCGACATTCCACTGCCAAACATGTCACCGTGGAGCGAGTTCAGCTCCGAGCAGACCCTGCTTACCTCTCCCCCCTCCCAAAGGAAGATAGTTCTACAGCACAGAAGAAGCCACTTTGTGCATCAGGGAGTTTGTGGGTACTGAGGTGATTTGTGACGTCCCCAGAATGAATTAGGATCTGGTCAGTGTTTCCCGACAGTCAGCCTGAGCCGGGGGAATGCAGGTTCATCAACAACCGGTATAGGGAGCACTTTCACATAGGCCATCGTCTCAGAACACTTCACAATGATGCGATCAGAAACCGAGGGGGAGGGGTTAAGGAGGAGGTGAAAATAACTTTAATGGCACCTAACTGTAACCAGCACTATGTTAACTGTAACCAGCACTATGTTAACTGTAACCAGCACTATGTCAACTGTAACCAGCACTATGTCAACTGTAACCAGCACTATGTTAACTAACCAGCACTATGTTAACTAACCAGCACTATGTTAACTAACCAGCACTATGTCAACTGTAACCAGCACTATGTTAACTAACCAGCACTATGTTAACTAACCAGCACTATGTTAACTAACCAGCACTATGTTAACTAACCAGCACTATGTTAACTGTAACCAGCACTATGGCACTATGTTAAAAACTCTGCTCGTTCTACGTTCTTTCCCTATGAAAGTCGAAGGTTGAATTATGTGAATCACGCCAGGTGTTTGGCTGAAGATGACTGGACCAAAGCAGAGGAGAGTGAGAAGGAGGCTGAAGAAAAGGAAGATGAAATGGAAGTTGAGTTGCTGAAGAAGAAGCTACCTAAACGCTATGCAAACCAGGTCAGTGCTTGCTCTCACAGCTTCTCAGGAGCTGGAACACATAATAGTAATAATCCTTGCATTTGATATAGCGCCTTATAACGTCTTTGCAACGCTTCACAGAATAATAATAATAATAATAATCAGAATGTACTGTAGAGTGAATTGATTGTGTATTTTGTGGGCAAAACGCAGCAGCCAATTGCCCACAGCAGCGTCCCACAAACAGTCGTGGATTGAGTGAACAAATTATTTTTTTTGAAGGGATTATTATCCCCGGAAAAGAGATCCTCCAGTCGACTAACAATCAGGTTGCTACTTACTACTGCAACAACTTGCATTTATATAGTGCCCCTCACGCAGAGTAGCATCCCAGACCACCCTACTCCTAGGTAGACAGAAGCATGTAGAGTAAAGAAACTTGTCCAAGGATTCACCCTGCCCTGTAATCGAACCCAGGTCTCTCACTTGCGAGGCAAATGCTCTAACCACTGAGCTACAGGACTCCATGTGCAGGAAGTCAAGAATTTGTCAGGCTGACCGGCTGATCACTATCCAGCACTATGGTGATGGCTCTGGGCAGGACACGCTGGGGTTTAGGTTGATGTTGCCTTTTTTCTCATCAGTGGAAATCTCCTTTGGTTCTTGGGTTGTTGAGGAGACTGCTCCTTTCCAGTACTATCCCCGCCAGCCCAAGGTGAAACGCCTGTTAGTTAGTGATTCGTGGGCAGGTTCTTTACTCCACACGCCTCTGTTTACCTAGCAATAAGTAGGAATCCGTTAATCGATTGGTGGATCGCTTTTCCGCCAAAAATAAATAATAATAATTTGGTCGCTCAATCCACAACTGCTGTGTGCAATTGGCTGCTGCGTTTCGTACGTGATATATACAGTCCCTACACTTTACAGTTTATTCTGAGAAGATGAGGATGTGATATGGCGCTATTATCAAGGATACAAGGATTAATATTATTATTGTGCTGGGCAGCAGGAATCCAGGTGGCTGGTCTGGACTTGTGTAGGTGCAGGTCCCTACTGCAGGTGGCGCTGTTGCACTGTGTGTGTGTGTCTGTCTGTCTCTTCCAGTTGATGCTTTCAGAATGGCTGGTGGTTCACTAATGAGCATAATATAAAATGGCAATGTCCTGGCCACTGGATTCATGCTGCTGAGCAAAGCACTTCAAACTACATCAAAGAATGAGTTGTTCGGATCAGGAATGCATTGCCTGAAAGCCGATTCGACAACAACTTTTAAGAGAGAAGTAGATAATTATTTGGGGCGGATAAGCTTGCAGGGCTATGGGGAGAGAGCGGAGTAGGTTGATCAGGGCTATGGGGGGAGAGTGGGGGAGTGGGGTTGATCAGGGCTATGGGGAGAGAGCGGAGTAGGTTGATCAGGGCTATGGGGAGAGTGGGGAGTGGGGTTGATCAGGGCTATGGGGAGAGAGCGGAGTAGGTTGATCAGGGCTATGGGGGAGAGCGGGGAGTGGGGTTGATCAGGGCTATGGGGAGAGAGCGGGGGAGTGGGGTTGATCAGGGCTATGGGGAGAGAGCGGGGAGTGGGGTTGATCAGAGCTATGGGGGAGAGTGGGGAGTGGGGTTGATCAGGGCTATGGGAGAGAGCGAGTAGGTTGATCAGGGCTATGGGAGAGAGCGGGGGAGTGGGGTTGATCAGAGCTATGGGAGAGAGCGGGGGAGGGGTTGATCAGAGCTATGGGGGAGAGTGGGGGAGTGGGTTGATCAGAGCTATGGGGAGAGTGGGGAGTGGGGTTGATCAGAGCTATGGGGGGAGAGTGGGGGAGTGGGGTTGATCAGAGCTATGGGGGGAGAGTTGGGGAGTGGGGTTGATCAGAGCTATGGGGGGAGAGCGGGGGAGTGGAGTTGATCAGCCCTCAGCCCTCCCTCACCCCCCATCACCCTCAGCCCTCCCTCACCCCCCATCACCCTCAGCCCCCTCACCCCCCATCACCCTCAGCCCTCCCTCACCCCACCACCACCCTCAGCCCTCCCTCACCCCATCACCCTCAGCCCTCCCTCACCCCCCATCACCCTCAGCCCTCCCTCACCCCCATCACCCTCAGCCCTCCCTCACCCCCATCACCCTCAGCCCTCCCTCACCCCATCACCCTCAGCCCTCCCTCACCCCATCACCCTCAGCCCTCCCTCACCCTCAGCCCTCCCTCACCCTCAGCCCTCCCTCACCCCATCACCCTCAGCCCTCCCTCACCCCCCATCACCCTCAGCCCTCCCTCACCCCCCATCACCCTCAGCCCTCCCTCACCCCCCATCACCCTCAGCCCTCCCTCACCCTCAGCCCTCCCTCACCCCATCACCCTCAGCCCTCCCTCACCCCATCACCCTCAGCCCTCCCTCACCCCATCACCCTCAGCCCTCCCTCACCCCCCATCACCCTCAGCCCTCCCTCACCCCATCACCCTCAGCCCTCCCTCACCCCCATCACCCTCAGCCCTCCCTCACCCCCCATCACCCTCAGCCCTCCCTCACCCCCCCATCACCCTCAGCCCTCCCTCACCCCCCCCCATCACCCTCAGCCCTCCCTCACCACCATCACCCTCAGCCCTCCCTCACCCCCCATCACCCTCAGCCCTCCCTCACCCCCATCACCCTCAGCCCTCCCTCACCCCCCCATCACCCTCAGCCCTCCCTCACCCCCCATCACCCTCAGCCCTCCCTCACCCCCCATCACCCTCAGCCCTCCCTCACCCCCCATCACCCTCAGCCCTCCCTCACCCCCATCACCCTCAGCCCTCCCTCACCCCCCCATCACCCTCAGCCCTCCCTCACCCCCCATCACCCTCAGCCCTCCCTCACCCCCCATCACCCTCAGCCCTCCCTCACCCCCCATCACCCTCAGCCCTCCCTCACCCCATCACCCTCAGCCCTCCCTCACCCCCATCACCCTCAGCCCTCCCTCACCCCACCATCACCCTCAGCCCTCCCTCACCCCATCACCCTCAGCCCTCCCTCACCCCACCATCACCCTCAGCCCTCCCTCACCCTCACCCCCCATCACCCTCAGCCCTCCCTCACCCCACCATCACCCTCAGCCCTCCCTCACCCCACCATCACCCTCAGCCCTCCCTCACCCCCCATCACCCTCAGCCCTCCCTCACCCCCCATCACCCTCAGCCCTCCCTCACACTCCATCACCCTTAGCCCTCCCTCACCCCCATCACCCTCAGCCCTCCCTCACCCCCCATCACCCTCAGCCCTCCCTCACCCCCATCACCCTCAGCCCTCCCTCACCCCACCATCACCCTCAGCCCTCCCTCACCCCACCATCACCCTCAGCCCTCCCTCACCCTCCATCACCCTCAGCCCTCCCTCACCCCCCATCACCCTCAGCCCTCCCTCACCCCCCATCACCCTCAGCCCTCCCTCACCCCCATCACCCTCAGCCCTCCCTCACCCCCCATCACCCTCAGCCCTCCCTCACCCCACCATCACCCTCAGCCCTCCCTCACCCCCCATCACCCTCAGCCCTCCCTCACCCCCCATCACCCTCAGCCCTCCCTCACACTCCATCACCCTTAGCCCTCCCTCACCCCCCATCACCCTCAGCCCTCCCTCACCCCCATCACCCTCAGCCCTCCCTCACCCCACCATCACCCTCAGCCCTCCCTCACCCCACCATCACCCTCAGCCCTCCCTCACCCTCCATCACCCTCAGCCCTCCCTCACCCCCCCATCACCCTCAGCCCTCCCTCACCCCCCATCACCCTCAGCCCTCCCTCACCCCCCATCACCCTCAGCCCTCCCTCACCCCCCATCACCCTCAGCCCTCCCTCACCCCACCATCACCCTCAGCCCTCCCTCACCCCCCATCACCCTCAGCCCTCCCTCACCCCCCATCACCCTCAGCCCTCCCTCACCCCCATCACCCTCAGCCCTCCCTCACCCCCCATCACCCTCAGCCCTCCCTCACCCCATCACCCTCAGCCCTCCCTCACCCCCCATCACCCTCAGCCCTCCCTCACCCTCCATCACCCTCAGCCCTCCCTCACCCCCCCATCACCCTCAGCCCTCCCTCACCCCCCATCACCCTCAGCCCTCCCTCACCCCCCATCAACCTCAGCCCTCCCTCACACTCCATCACCCTCAGCCCTCCCTCACACTCCATCACCCTCAGCCCTCCCTCACACTCCATCACCCTCAGCCCTCCCTCACACTCCATCACCCTCAGCCCTCCCTCACACTCCATCACCCTCAGCCCTCCCTCACACTCCATCACCCTCAGCCCTCCCTCACACTCCATCACCCTCAGCCCTCCCTCACCCCCCATCAACCTCAGCCCTCCCTCACACTCCATCACCCTCAGCCCTCCCTCACACTCCATCACCCTCAGCCCTCCATCACCCTCAGCCCTCCCTCACACTCCATCACCCTCAGCCCTCCCTCACACTCCATCACCCTCAGCCCTCCCTCACACTCCATCACCCTCAGCCCTCCCTCACACTCCATCACCCTCAGCCCTCCCTCACACTCCATCACCCTCAGCCCTCCCTCACACTCCATCACCCTCAGCCCTCCCTCACCCCCCATCACCCTCAGCCCTCCCTCACCCCCCATCACCCTCAGCCCTCCCTCACACCCCCATCCCTCCCGCACACCCCCAATAACCCTCTGATGCCATTTACCTACAAAATACTCAATCACTTGACTTCATCGCCAACTTTTTGATTGGCCGACAAAATAATTATAAAATTCACAAAATAGCAAAGATTTATGCTATAAATTATTCAATCAAGAAACATTCATTTTGCTGACCATCCAAACGGGCTGTAAGTAGGGACCAGGTTGTTAAGACGGTTGGTGGATCGCTTTTCCGGGGGGTAATAATCCAGTCAAAAATGCTGCAGCACTGGTCACAATCTCCAGCCTGAACCAATGCAGCAGATGTGGCTGTGTCCGCAGTGACTTTCCCAGCCCGGTTTATTGAACGACTGTCAGACTGAGCACAAAAGAAAAAAACGTTTGGTAACTCTTTGAAACTCTTTGAAACACAACTGTTTGTGAGACGCTGCTGTGCACAATTGGCTGCTATGTTTCGCCCACAGATATACTGTCAATTACAGTGAATCCTGTGAAGCGCTTTGAGACGTCTAGAATACGTGATCAGGCGCTGTGTCAAATGCAAAGATTATTATTATTATTATTAAACAGGCACTGAATTCTACTTTCAAAGTCTTTTTACAAAATTATTCATCTAAGTAATAAGTGCATTTGCAAATACTGTACTTTTTTAAATGTATTCAGTCCTGGCAACAAATCAATTCAGACTGGTTGACAGAAAGGGTGACCTGCAGATATGCTGCTTAATATATCACCCAGAGGTTAGAGTTCAAAATCTTGGTCCTCGCCTTCAAAGCCCCCCATAGCCTTGCTGCCTGTGACCTGCTAACGCGATATCAACCTGGTCCACACCCCCCATCTGGCCTATCCCACCATCAGCGGTCAGGTCTTCAGCCTCTCTGCCTCCACCCTTTGGAATTCATCATAACTTCCTGACTTGTGTATTCTATGCCCCTATTTATAAAGCCCAGTATCCCATATGCTCTTTTAACAGCTTTATCTGCCTGTCCGGCCACCATCAAAGATTTACTATATGACCCCCAGATCTCTCTGTTCCTTCACCCCCTTTAAGATTGTATCATCAGCTTATATTGTCTCTCCTCATTCTTCCTCACAAAATGCATCACTTCTCATTCCTCCACATTAAACTTCATCTGCATTAAACTTATCGCTAGTTTATCCTAGTAAATCTCCTCTGCACCTCCTCTCTCACCTTGACATCTTTCCTAAAGTGAGGTAATCAATACTGGACACAATATTCTAACTGTGGTCCAACAACAAATTGCATTTGTATAGCGCCTTTCACCTTGCCTTTCACAATGCATCTTCTTCAGTTACCTATCTATATGTCATCTGCAAATTTAGAAATTATGCCCCTTATTCCAGAGCTCAGATCACTTTTATTACAATGGAGAAAAATGGCATAAACGCTGACCTGGGCGGACAACATTAATTACATCTTGAAGGATGGAAGACTTCCATTTGTATGTGAAGGTTCATCACTTGAGCATAGCTATCAAAATGCAAGCTTTCCTCCCAGAGTGGACTACTCCAGATAGCAGTCATTGAGTTGTGACTGAAGGCTTTGCAACATTGGGCATTAAACATGTAAACAAAATGATGGGTTGTATTTTGATACAATTCCATTGATCAATTAATTCAGCATATTTTAAAGTATTTTATTAAATTTCTGTACAAGACAAACTTAAATGTACCCATACTACACAGCAACAGGCATATATACAAATGTACAGGTCACAGAAGAACTGTTCAAGTATTAGATGTGGTGATCTTTAATTAAACCAGTTTTCAGTCTTCTCCAGCTGAAGTCTCTTCTTCCGTGGGCTCTGGGGAAAGAGGAAGTGCCCTGGAGAAATAAAATATTAATTAATTTTTCCTTCAAAATTGAGTGTCTCAAACATTTTACAGCAAATAAACCATCGATTCAAATATTACTTGAAATACAAAAGAACTGTCATATTGCTCTTAATGTGGGTGCCACCAAACAATAGCTGACTTCCAGATTCAGGTCACTGACATTGCTTTCTTATATCCTGCACAACCCAATTACCCAAATACCAATCAGCGTCTTATTTGATATAGTGCCTGTCACATCAGGACATCTCAAAGCATGTGATAGGATTTATTGTAGTGGAGTGATTTTAGGCAAATGCTGCAGCCAATTTGCACACAAATGGCTCACTTCATGGCTGTGAGACATCACAGCCATGAAGTGAGTAAGTGACCAATTTTATTGTAGGAGGATTATTGGCCAGGACACAATTAATCTATTTTACTGGGGATACCAGGTGAAACTTGCTTCTCTTTTCAACTCATGCCAATGGGCCTTTAATGTCCACCTGAACAGGCACAGATAGCACTTCACCTTCATGTCTCATCCAAAGAAGAGTCAGCTTAGATAATGAGCTCAAATCCTGATTGGGGGGAAGGGGGCAAGATTACATGTAGATGAAAACCTGATCTAAAGTTCTCTGGGACGCTACCCTGCGTGAGAGGCACTGTATAAATGCAAGTTGTTGATTTACAGGATCTTAGCCACAATGAGTCTGAGTAGATTGGTGTTATGTTCGTTAGAGTAGAAAGGGTTCAGGGGTAATTTGATTGATGTATCTAAAATAATGAAAGAAATTGATAGTCTTCCATTTGGTACAGAGATCATTACAAAGTAGCGAGAACAAACCTTCTTGGAGTTTTGCTCGTTTCAGACTTGCTCCCGCAGGCCTCCTCCTCATCATCAACTGAAGGTACAGTATTCTCTTTCTCAGGCAGTTTGGAAGGACCACCAAAGAATTCTCCAATCCCTTTCTGCCATTTAGGAGTAGGTCTTGGGCAGACTGGGTTTCCACCAGCATATTTGCTTTCTGTTGAAAGGGCACAAAGAATATGATTTTAGTTGAATTAATCTTTTAAATGTCATCAAAGAAACACTAAATCTCCAACCTTGTCATTTACATGATGAGATGTTTCAAGAATAAGCCAAGTGATTCCAGATGAACTGGACTCATTTTTCCAACCCAGGAAGTGTTTGAACAGTAACCAAATGCATCAGAAAAGGGAAGGCTGACCAGGCTGGGAAGAGCTACTTAAATGTAGGTTAATATGCAACCCACACTGAAGACATGCACAGCAGCCTGGCTCAGTTGTCAGCACTCTTGCTGCTGAGTTAGTAAATTGTAGGTTCAGGGACTTGGAACAGAGCCTAAGTTGACACTCCAATGTGGTGCTGGGGATGTGCTGCAGTTGGAGGTGACTTTCTTTGGATCAGACATTAAACCAAGTTCCTATCTGCCTCTTCAGGTGGACAGTAAAGATCCCGCTGCACTATTCAAAAAGTGAGTCCTTTGTTGGCCAGGACTAATTTTCCGGCTGTGTTTTTGCCTATAAATACAGTCACTCCATTTCACAGTAAATCCTGTGAAGCACTTTGAAACATCCTTCCGATCTGATAAGGTATTTTACCAAATGCAACGATTATTATTATTCTAAAGTGTAGTGACTATTTGCAGGGAAACTTAAATCTGGGGCTTCAGAATTAATAATTCTACCTGCATTAAAAAAACAACACTGTATATAACAGTGATATGAGCACTAACCCTTTTTTCCCGGGGATGTTAAAGAGGTGTTGGCTGTACTCGTACATCCAAGTGCTTTCCTTGGTGCTCTTGCAGCAACAGCTGGTGAAAGAAATAACGCTGGTTAACTGAGGATTGTAAAACTAATACAGAAGAGTCTAAACTAATACCTGGTTAATGGTCCATAGAACAAATGTTTAGCAGCATAGCTAAGACTTCTGATTTTCACCCCAAGCCACAATAAAACAGGTCGGTGTTTATTCCCTAATCTTGGAAAATCAATGTAAATTTGATTAATTTGAACCAATTTAACTCATCAAAAGTTTATTACAGTAGGAAATTCACCCAAACCACCGTGATAAACAACAACATGCTGGATATTATACTGTAATCCAGGGCGGTCCAACAGGCAGCATGCAGATGATTTAATCCGGCCTGAGACCATTTTCAGGTCTCCCACTCCCTCAATCCCCTGCTCAACCGTCTTCTCATGGCAGAACCAGGAGCAGGCAGTTGAGATAGAGAGTGAGGGGAATGTGTGAGAGAGTAATTGAGAGAGGGAGAGAGAGAGCGAAGAATGATTGAAAGCAAGGGCATGAGGGAGAGAGCATGAGGGAGGAAGAAACAAGGAGAGCAGAGAGAAGCGAGGGCAGTATTTCATGGTTCACTGTCAGGACAGACGATCGGAGTATCCCTTGGCCGCCACGGAGGGGGTGGGGGAAGGGGGTCGGGACAGACAGAGTGATGTGCAGTGCAGTTTCCTCACAGCAAGCTCCCTCTTTCCACAATGGCAAACTCCTTTACTGTTCCTGGCTTCCAAACAGCTCTCTATTTTCCTAAATAATTTGTGGTGGACCTTAACCCAGAACCAAATAAGGGTATGACCAATTTAATATTTTTCTTTACTGGTAGTTGCTGGCACACTTAGCAACTCCCACCTCAAACCTGACTGTCAGGATAAATGCAGCTATTACCCTTACCAGCACTTTGAATGTCCCCCCGACGTGAAAGGCACCAAATAAATGTCAAATGCATTGTATCATCACACATTGGGAAGAAGCATGTAATTAAAAAAATTAAAAGAAACTGTTATCTCAGACAGCAGTGATTAAAATAAAGAGCAGCTGGACATCTTTTCAGCAATACAGGAAATAGAATTCTACCATCATTGCACATTTTGGTGTGGATTGTCTACAATACTGCTGAATATTTAGTTAAGAGTATGTAGAACAGTAGATGCAGTAGAGTGTTGCATCTCAATATCTACCAGGTTTTGTCTGAAACAAGCTGGAGAGCAGTTCCTCAATCCAGCTAACCAAGCAAGAGACATGGCCTGGAAATGTCACATTTTGCAGTATTTGAAACAGAAACTGGAGAGTCCACAGGAAAGCCAGCTGTGAGTTCGGCACTTTTAGGGAGATAAGTCAAAGCTAATTGTACATAGTACAACTGCCCAATAGTGCCTAATGAGTAGTAAATTATGCCCAAGGGCTGAGCTGGCTGTAAATAAAGCTAGTATTTTGTAAAATTTTATGATCAATAAAATTGCCCTTGTAAAGACTGGTGGCTATTATATAGGGAACACACACATTTCCAGTAAACATTTCACTCCTTGCCTGGCTCTGTGTACCAAGAGGATAAGTAACAAAGCAATTCACGAGCCACAAAAGGCTTCTCATGAAATAATCTGTGAGACTGTTCAAAGGAAATTACACTCCCATAAAACTGAGAAAACCTTCAAACCAACAGTTCCTGAAATCCAAAATCTGTGAGGAAAGTAAGGCATTTCTCTTAAAAGAAATGCTACAAATTACTCACTCACCTGTGTGCCACTCTAGCACCTAGCTAAATACCTGGGAAGAGGGTGCTAGGGACTGCTACACGGCTGTAGAAAGAAAATCAATTCCAGCAGAAGTCTAATTTGTGGTTTTCATTTCTGTTCTGTGAAGGGAGCATTCTTAGTGTCCAAGTATTGAAATTCCTATACAATGTATACACATATATAACAAAAAATAAATAATCTTGCATTTGATATAGTGGTTTATCACTTCTTCGAAGTGCTTCACATATTTACAGAATACTGTAAAGAGTACTGACTATTTTGTGGACAAAACGCAGCAGCCAATTGCGCCCAGCAGTGTCCCACAAACAGTCATGGAATTAATAAAATTGATTGGTAAATATTTATTGATTCATAAAGCCCATGAGGCTCTTTGAGACACCCTCCTTTTGTAAAAGGCGCTGTATTAAATGCAATTATTAGTATACACATATTATACACATTTAATACATTTGGCAGGGCAAATTGTTGGGTAAGTTTCCTTATGCCACACTCTGTTTACCTAGCAGTAAGTAGGAACCCGGTTGTTAGTCGGTTGGCAGATCATCTTTCTGGGAGTAATAATTCCTTCAAAAAAAAAATTGGTAACTTCGATCCACGACTGTGTGTGGGACGCTGCTCTGTGCAATTGGCTGCCGCGTTTCACCCACAAAATATACAGTCAATTCACTTTACAGTGTATTCTGTGAAGCACTTTGAGACGTCTTAAAACAACAACAACAACAACAACAAGATTCCATTTATAAAGCGCCTTTCACGTCAGGAGGACGTCCCAAGGCGCTGCACAGTTGGGTCATGACCCGAGCAGGGGGGAAATGGTCAGGGTGAGGGGAGGGAAGGGAGGGAGAGAGGAGGGGGGAAATGGTCAGGGTGAGGGAAGGGAGGGAGAGAGGAGGGGGAAATGGTCAGGGTGAGGGGAGGGAAGGGAGGGAGCGAGGAGGGGGAAGAGAGTCGAGAGGGGAGCTGAAGGCACGGTCAAAGAGAAAGGTTTTGAGACCGGCCTTGAAGGAGGAAAGGGAGGAGGCGGCGAAGGCACTGGGGGATGGAGTTCCAGAGCCTCGGGGCTGAGAGGCTGAAGGCCCGACCACCGATGGTAGGGCGGTTGGGGCGGGGGACGTGGAGCAGACCGGAGCCAGAGGAACGGAGGGTACGGGCAGGTAGGTAGGGGGATAATGTGATAAGCTGCTATATCAAATGCATCGATTATTATGTATATATAATATGAATAAAACTCTCAATCTGATTTGGAAAATGTAAGCGTGGTAGGAAGAGTTTCTGCATGCGTCACATACCCGATTGATCAAAAAAAGCACAGCCACAAGAGGCAGCAAATCTCTCCATCAGTGACAGGAGCCAATCAGGTTTGATTGGAGCCAGTTTTTCCCCTCCAACACATATTCTGTGTTGTATTCTGTCCATATGAAACAGTTTTGAGCGTGAACAGTGCAACAAATAGAATACCTGCAAGCCGTGAATGTTTTCCTCAAGTATTAATGGGTCGTATGCCCAAACATGCAGTGAGCTGTTCCAGCAGCTTCTGATCAAGTCTCACAGCAAAACCACAATTTAAACATTAAAATGCAATGTCCAGCAATACTACAGCACAAAACATAGCTGCATTCTGGAAGCCTCAAAACCAAGCGTCAAATGGTGAACATACAACACCTAGTATCCAGGATTGTATGCAATCTATACACCAAGTATTACACACAAACTTTAGACTGTTTAAAATTAACCCACAACAAATGCACCATTAACAATGGTTGTACCAAGAATCATTAACTGATTGATAAACGCTCCTCATCTATGCTTTTAAAGCCATCCACGGTTTTGCCCCACCCTATCTTTCTGACCTACTAAAACCTTACTAACCCTTACGCGAAGCTGCGTACCCGTCCTACTATCGATGGTCATAATGGCTGTGTTTCTCTGATGAGTGGAAGACAGTACACTGTGCCTTTCATGTCAGGAGGATATCCCAAGGCACTGGACAATCAAGGGCTTGATCCCAGCTGAGGGTTGGATGGAATCCAAGAGGAGTGAGAAGATGACCAAAGGCACAGTCAAAGAGGAAGGTCTTGAGATGCACTAAAGACATCACCAGTAACTGCCGCATCAGCCGCTGTGGGGAGGGGACTCGCTGTATATACACGGCTCTGGATTTAAACCACATAATATTGGGCTACTTTTGGGTGGACTTTGGGCTACAATCCCTGGCCGCCCCACTGGCGCCAAAACACAGCCGGATGGCGCGCGCTCGCTCGCCACCCGCCAAAACACCGGAGCCCGCAGGCGGCAGCCGAGTGACCCCCGGGCCCAGGGTCCAGGCCGCGCTAACACACCCGGCTCCTCCCTCCCTCCCTCCCGCCGGCGAGTTTCCATGCAGCGCCGAGAACCCCCGGTGACAGGCCTCCGGCCGGGGCCGTCAGCTCTCCTCAGGGAGGCCACACGGAGCTCCTCCCTCCTCTCCCCCGCCCCCGGGCCGGGCCGGGCCTGGCCGGGGCCGCACAGCGGACCTTACCCTTGCGGAAGGAGCCTGTACAGGCGGTGCTGTCGGCCTTGGTGCGAACCATGGCGGCGGGCGGACCGGGAGTGACGGCGCGCGGGCGGCTCCGCGCTTTAATCTCCCGCCCGCTCACACGCTGCCGCCCCCATTGGCCATAGCCCCGCGCCGGATCCACCAATCACCACTCGTGTGACATCGCCTCCTTGGCCTTGGCCCAATGGAGAGCGCGGAGCCGCAGCGGGCCCGCTGGCCAATGAGAGGGCCGCGTCTGCCTGTCACTGGCTGAGCGCCGATTGATGGCGCCGCCAGTGACAGACGGGGAGGAAGGAGTCACGTGCCGAGTAGCTGGGCACGTGGCACACCCACAGGTGCCCCGAGCAGGTCAGGCAGCATCTATAGAGAGAGCCTTCCTGGTCGATCAGCCCAGAGAATCCTGTATTGCTCTAACTCATTCACCCAGTTCCCCCGTCTCACACCCCCCCCTCCCCTCCTTCAAGACCCGTCTCAAGACTCTCCTCTTTGACCGTGCTTTCTGTCAACCTCCTCTCCCCCCGCCCCCCGCCCTCCCCGATCCCGACCCCCAGCACGGGTCCAAAACACTGCTTGTCCAGTGCCTTGGGACGTCCTTCCGACGTGAAAGGCGCTTTATACATGTAATTTTATCGTTGGTGTTCTGACGAAAGGTCATCGACCTGAAATGTTGACTCACTTTCCTCTCTCCATAGATGCTGCCTGACCTGCTGAGTGTTCCCAGTGACTTCTGTTTCTATTCTATGAATGGTTGTGAGTGTTGTTTAAAGGTTCCCACAAACAGGCAGGCATCTGAGCAATTCAAAGAAGCCCACCCGCTTGAGGTTAACTCCATGCATCCAATCGTGGTTTGATTTGACAGCTGATCAGACCCACCGAGAGCTGCTCTTGGGTTTGGTGGCACGTTTCTGTTCAGCTAATCTCTTTGTTTGCCCATGGATAATGTGTCAGTAATTGCTGGTTTCAATTTTATCCATCTTAACTGAAAGGCAAAGGGCACTAATGGTTGGTGATAATACAGGGTCACATTTCCTGGAATGTGCTGTCTTCAGTGAATTATACTAAACTGTTGTTTTAAAAAATTTGATACCCTGCTCTATTGCTGGCAGCCACATATTAGCAACAGCATCAGAATGTTGCTTCAGGCATTTTGCTAGCAGTAAGCAGTTGTTAGTCGATAGGCGGATCGCTTTCCAGGTAACAATCCCTTTCAAAACATATATAAAATAATAATAATTTGGTCACTCACTCCATAACTGGTTATAGGACACTGCTGTGCGTAATTGGCTACTGAGTAGTGCCCACAAAATATACAGTCACTTCACTTTCAAGTATATTCTGTGAAGTGATTTGAGACGCCTAGAAGACGTGATAAGGAATGCAAATGCAAAGATTATTATTTATATTTTACAGTGAGTCTTGGGCTATTTTTGAGGAAGGCCTCTCAAATTAATAGTGGAAATGAATATGACTGATGCATGGTACCTGGACTTCCAAAGCCCTTTGATAATGTATCACAGCTATAAATGGTAGGACAGCAGGTAACAAAGCTGTGAAGAAAGCTAAATAGTATCCTTGCATAGATCTTGAGCTCCAAATCCCTAAAACAGGATTTCCACCCATGACATTCTGACCCGGGGCAAGATTGCAATCAACTGATCCAAGATGAGACATGAAAAAGCGAGTTTCTCAGTGTCCTAACTCCTGGCCAACAAGTCTTCAAAGGAATTAAGTAATTAACTGAAAGGCTGATTATGGGACTGTGCTGGTGCACAAATAGTTTAAAAATACTAAATTTGTCTGTAATTACTTGTGAAATGTAATTACTGTGGAGTCCTGTGGCTCAGTAGTTAGAGCACTCGCTTTGCAAGTGAGAGACCTGAGTTCAATTCCCGGCAGGTCAGGGCGAAACCTTGGGCAAGTTTCCTTACTCCACACAGAGCCTAATAATAATCCCTCCAAAACCAAAAACAATAATAAATTGGTCATTTTCAATCCACGATGTTTGTGGGACATTGCTGTGCGCAATTGGCTGCCGCGTTTGCCCACAAATATACAGTCAGTTCACTTTACAGTGTGTTCTGTGAAGCGCTTTGGGACATCCTCCCGATGTGAAAAGCACTATATCAAGTGCAAGGATTATTATTCTTATAAATGCGTGAGTCCCTTTACACTACAAAAAAAGCTATATATCATCAAAACAAATAATTATTTGCAATGGAATAAAACGTTATTATAATTATATAACCATATATCTAATTACTCTTAGATTTTGTGAGTCAAGATATGGTTCACTTTGATGGACTCGGATAAGGATCTGAATGAAGTTGAAATAAAAACAGAAGTCCCTGGGAAGACTCAGCGGGTCAGACAGCATCTATGGAGAGAGGAAAGAGACCTGTGGTCATCAACCTGAAGCGGTAACTCACTGTCCTCTCTCCGTAGGTGTGACTGACTGACTGACTGACTGACCCGCTGAGTGTTCCCCGGGACTTCTGGATTTATATCAGATTTCCAGCCTCTGCAGTGTTTTGGGCTCTTTACTGAATGAAGTGGGTTTGGTCCCGGAACGTTGTTGGGAAGTTGGCGGTGCCGCTGGGGAAGCGCCGGAGTGTGACACGGTTCTCGTGTACGCTGTGCACGGGGGGATGTTTCCGGGTGGGTTTGCTCCATGGCGGCGGCCGGAGGGGAGAGGACGGCGGCCGCGGACTCGCTGCTGAGCTGGTGTCAGGAGCAGTTGGTTCAGAAATTCGGGCTGGAAGTTAACGAGGAGTTGATACAGTCAGTCCGAGCGGCGAGGGCCTGGGGGGGTGTCACAGGACCCGGGAGGGGGGGTGACTGGCCACAGGGTGGGGGGGGGGGGAGTGTGACTGGCCACAGTGGGGGGGGGGGGGAGTGTGACTGGCCACAGTGGGGGGGGGGGGGGAGTGTGACTGGCCACAGTGGGGGGGGGGGGGGGAGTGTGACTGGCCACAGTGGGGGGGGGGGGAGTGTGACTGGCCACAGTGGGGGGGGGGGAGTGTGACTGGCCACAGTGGGGGGGGGGGGAGTGTGACTGGCCACAGTGGGGGGGGGGGAGTGTGACTGGCCACAGTGGGGGGGTGGGGAGTGTGACTGGCCACAGGGTGGGGGGGTGGGGAGTGTGACTGGCCACAGTGGGGGGGGGGGTGGGGAGTGTGACTGGCCACAGGGTGGGGGGGGGTGGGGAGTGTGACTGGCCACAGGGTGGGGGGGGTGGGGAGTGTGACTGGCCACAGTGGGGGGGGGGGAGTGTGACTGGCCACAGTGGGGGGGGGGGGGAGTGTGACTGGCCACAGTGGGGGGGGGGGGGAGTGTGACTGGCCACAGTGGGGGGGGGGGGGGGGAGTGTGACTGGCCACAGTGGGGGGGGGGGTGGGGAGTGTGACTGGCCACAGGGGGGGGGGGTGGGGAGTGTGACTGGCCACAGTGGGGGGGGGGGGAGTGTGACTGGCCACAGTGGGGGGGGGGGAGTGTGACTGGCCACAGTGGGGGGGGGGTGGGGAGTGTGACTGGCCACAGTGGGGGGGGGGGGGAGTGTGACTGGCCACAGTGGGGGGGGGGGGAGTGTGACTGGCCACAGTGGGGGGGGGGGGGGGGTGGGGAGTGTGACTGGCCACAGTGGGGGGGGGGGGGGGAAGTGTGACTGGCCACAGGGTGCGGGGGGGTGGGGAGTGTGACTGGCCACAGTGGGGGGGGGGGGGTGTGGAGTGTGACTGGCCACAGTGGGGGGGGGGGGGGGGGGAGTGTGACTGGCCACAGTGGGGGGGGGGGGGGGAAGTGTGACTGGCCACAGTGGGGGGGGGGTGGGGAGTGTGACTGGCCACAGTGGGGGGGGGGGGGGAAGTGTGACTGGCCACAGTGGGGGGGGGGGGAGTGTGACTGGCCACAGGGTGGGGGGGTGGGGAGTGTGACTGGCCACAGTGGGGGGGGGGGCGGAGTGTGACTGGCCACAGTGGGGGGGGGGGGGAGTGTGACTGGCCACAGTGGGGGGGGGGGGGGTGGGGAGTGTGACTGGCCACAGTGGGGGGGGGGGGAGTGTGACTGGCCACAGTGGGGGGGGGGGGGGAGTGTGACTGGCCACAGTGGGGGGGGGGGGGAGTGTGACTGGCCACAGTGGGGGGGGGGGGGGAGTGTGACTGGCCACAGTGGGGGGGGGGGGGAGTGTGACTGGCCACAGTGGGGGGGGGGGGAGTGTGACTGGCCACAGTGGGGGGGGGGGGGGGGAGTGTGACTGGCCACAGTGGCACAGTGGGGGGGGGGGTGGGAGTGTGACTGGCCACAGTGGGGGGGGGGGGGGGAGTGTGACTGGCCACAGTGGGGGGGGGGGGGAGGGAGTGTGACTGGCCACAGTGGGGGGGTGGGGGAAGTGTGACTGGCCACAGTGGGGGGGGGGGGGGGTGGGGAGTGTGACTGGCCACAGTGGGGGCGGGGGGGGGAGTGTGACTGGCCACAGTGGGGGGGGGGGGAGTGTGACTGGCCACAGTGGGGGGGGGGGAGTGTGACTGGCCACAGTGGGGGGGGGGGGTGGGGAGTGTGACTGGCCACAGTGGGGGGGGGGGGAGTGTGACTGGCCACAGTGGGGGGGGGGGGGAGTGTGACTGGCCACAGGGTGGGGAGGGAGTGTGACTGGCCACAGTGAAGGGGGGGGGGGGAGTGTGACTGGCCACAGTGGAGGGGGGGGGGGAGTGTGACTGGCCACAGTGGAGGGGTGGGGGAGTGTGACTGACCACAGTGGAGGGGGGGGGGGGGAGTGTGACTGGCCACAGGGTGGGGGTGGGGAGGGAGAGTGGCTGGCCACAGTGGAGGGGAGTGTGACTGGCCACAGGGTGCGGGTGGGGAGGGAGAGTGGCTGGCCACAGTGGAGGGGGGAGGGAGAGTGGCTGACCACAGTGGAGGGGGAGGGAGAGTGGCTGCCACAGTGGAGGGGGGAGGGAGAGTGGCTGGCCACAGTGGAGGGGGAGGGAGAGTGGCTGCCACAGTGGAGGGGGAGGGAGAGTGGCTGACCACAGTGGAGGGGGAGGGAGAGTGGCTGGCCACAGTGGAGGGGGGAGGGAGAGTGGCTGACCACAGTGGAGGGGGAGGGAGAGTGGCTGACCACAGTGGAGGGGGAGGGAGAGTGGCTGGCCACAGTGGAGGGGGAGGGAGAGTGGCTGGCCACAGTGGAGGGGGGAGGGAGAGTGGCTGACCACAGTGGAGGGGGGAGGGAGAGTGGCTGACCACAGTGGAGGGGGGAAGGAGAGTGGCTGACCACAGTGGAGGGGGGAGGGAGAGTGGCTGACCACAGTGGAGGGGGGAGGGAGTGTGGCTGACCACAGTGGAGGTGGGAGGGAGAGTGGCTGACCACAGTGGAGGGGGGAGGGAGTGTGGCTGACCACAGTGGAGGGGGGAGGGAGAGTGGCTGACCACAGTGGGGAGAGTGATAATGCCATGAGATCTTTAATGTCAGTCTCAGCAGCTAGAGGGGACCTTGGTTTAATGTATCTTCTGAAGGACAGCACCTCTGACCTTTCCCTCCCTCCCTCCCTCCCTCAGAACTTTGTCCCCCTGGCCCATTACTTCTCTAGGATGTCCCTCACTTCCTACTGGACTCCGTCTCCCCTTGGCCCCATAATTCACCAGTTATCTTCTGACAAACTGTTTCTGGCTGATCCCCATCCTTAGCTGCAACCTCCAGGCTGAGAATAGCCCCCCATTAATTCCAAACACTCCGGATTGGCCTGCTCTGTTGTCTGTGCTCACTAGTAGTATAATGAAAAGCATTTTTGTTTTATCACCACAGATACATCCTGTCTATCGAGAGCTCAGAGGAGATTGAAGAGTATGTCAGTGACTTGGTTCAGGGGACGGATGGAAAGAAACAGCTCTTTATTGATGAACTTCTGAAAAGGTGGAAGAGATCACGAGAGGTGCCCACTCCTGGGCAAGGACAGTTATACAGGAAAAAAGATGGTGTGTGTAGCATTGTAAAATAAGAACATAAGAATTTGTGAGAAGACCAAGATCCATCTAGTTCGCCTTCCACCATCCTGGCAGTCGCTTGACTTGTTGTGTCCCAACTATATACTGATATTATTTTCTAGCAAATCTATCTAATTTGTTCTTAAAATAACAACACTGCGCAATTGGCTGCTGCGTTCGCCCACAAATATACAGTCAATTCACTTTACAGTGTATTCTGTGAAGCGCTTTGGGACGTCCTCCTAACGTGAAAAGCGCTATATCAAATGAAAGGATTATTATTATTATTATTATGTGTATAACGCCTTTCACGTCAGGACAAGGTCCCAACGCGCTGGATAGTCGAGTTTCAGACCTGAGCTGGGGGTCGTGATTGGGGAGGAGAAGGGCGGGGGGGGGGAAACAGGGAGATCGAAAGCACGGTTCAAGAAGAGGGTCTTGAGATGGGTCTTGAAGGAGGCAAAGGAGGGGGCAAGGCGGGGGGAACAATGACATTTTCTGCGTCCACCGTCTCCATAAGGTGCCAGTTCCATAAGTATTACTCACTCATTGAAGTAGTTTCCGCAGATTTGTTCTGAATTTACCCCCCCCCTTCAATCGCAGGCTGTGTCCTCTGGTTCTACTGTTCAGTGCAAGATGAAACAGCTTGTCATAGTCTACATTATCTATTCCCTTCAGAATCTTAAAAGACCATGATCATATCGCCCTCAACCTTTTCTCCAATGTGAACATACAATTGAAGATATAGGAGATATTGCTGGAAGTATAATAATGTACTCCTGTTCCTTCCTTCATAAACTCCTTCCATTCTAAAATCTGCTGTAAACTTTTGTTTTATGTACTGGCTGAATAGAAGATGTGCCATGTGCCATTTGCTCTGCTTGTAGAGGTTCCAGACTCATCAAAAGTCAGCGAGCAGCTCAAGAAGTCAAAGAGGAAAGGCAGGAACAAGCAGGAACCATGGCTGGTGTCTGAGACCCAGGCACCAGCAGAAGAAGTTAAAACACCTATCGATCTGGTGAAGGTAATAATAATAGTTTGAAGGCAACCAGCATTTTGGTAGATGCATTTTTACATTTTGCCCACATTTACAGTAAATCCGGTGAAACACTTTGGGACGTCATCCTGGCATGAAAGGTGCTGTATCAAAGGATTATTATTATCATTAGTTATCTGTATCAAGCAAAGTTTTAAGAAATTAGACTTTTTTCTTAATGATAGTGTTAAGTACTCCAAGGTCAGGTACCGCATAATGTGTGGATAAAAAGATCTCACCACGTTACCCTACAATGGCTTTCTCAAGACAATGACAACCTTCCCAGATCTCACATAGTCCTTGTGTGACTGACTACAAGGCCTGTACCAATACTGCTTTGTAATCAGCCATTAGGAGTAAGAGTCTGAACAGGTGGTGACTGGATCTACAATTTTGTCTGTTTTCTTCCCCCCACCCCCAATCCTTTCTTGTGTCCTCTCCTGCACCAGGCTTCATGACCCTATCAACCCCACCCTCCCCTGGCTTCCCATTCCCCCAGAGGATAGAGTTCAAAATCCTCGTCCTCACCTTCAAGGCCCTCTGCAGTCTTGCTCGTTTCTACCTCTGTAACCTGCTAACCCCATATCAACCTGTCCGCTCCCTCTGCTTAGCAGGCTGTGGCCTGCTCCACGTCCCCGGCCCAGCCTGCCCCACCATTGGCGGTCGGGCCTTCGGCCTCTCTGCCCCAAACCTTTGGAACTCCATCCCGCAGTTCCTTCGCCTCGCTCCCTCCCTTGCCTCTTTCAAGGCCTGTCTCAAGACCCTTCTCTTTGACCGCATATTCTGCCACCCTCCTACCCCCACCTACTGTCCGGCGTGGAGGGTGCTATATAAATCCCAAGTTATTGTTGTTGTACTGCCCTGATCCCAACCCCCAGCTCGGATCTAAATCCCTCCCTGTTCAGCACCATGGGACATCCTTCCGATGTGAAAGGTGCTTTACAACAGTGGTGGAATTTGACCAGAGCTGGGGAGAGAGGGTAGGTGATCATAGGCACGGTTAAAGGAAAGTCTTCAGCTGCGATCTGAAGATAGGCAAGCGGAGGGATTGAGGGAGACAGTTCCAGAGTCTCGGGGTGTAGTGGGTGAAAGCACAGCCACCGACGGTGGAGGAGAAGGGGACATGCAGGAGGCCAGAGCCAGCCGTTTTCAGAGGCTTCAGTATGTTCACTGAACAGGTTGGGTATGAACTTGCTGTTTGTTATTGACCAGGTGCAGGAGGCAAACGCCTCAACCAAGAAGAAAACGACCAAATATACATCTCTGTACACCACAGAAGGCCAGGACAGGCTGACGGTCATCCTCCCAGGGCGCCATGGCTGCGACTGCCTGGCACAGAAACACAAACTCATCAACAACTGTCTGAATTGTGGCCGCATCGTGTGTGAGCAGGAGGGCTCTGGACCCTGCATGTTCTGTGGAATCTTGGTGCGTGAGTGCCATAAATAATGGTGTTATTGCTGTTCTGTTAAAACTATCTGTAAAACTCTCCACCCTAAACCTCATCCTCTATATTAATTCCCCAACCAATAACCATGGCCACCACCTTGACAAAGTTCTCCGAGACGCCATTTGGTGTGAAGGGCGCTTTATAAATATTGTTGTTATTGCGGCCTCCCCATTTCTCAACACCCCTAGGATTCAGCTCAATTCTGTCTGTACAGTTCAGATTGAGAAGTAAAATAATGGTTAAACCTCAACCCAAGGGCACAGGGCTCATTATTTTCATTCAGAAAACAGTGATTTATAGTGATGGCATTAAATCAGTCCTCTTTTTACAACAAAAATCCCTCTCAAAGGCTCAGCACATAACGTGTGGTTTGATCCCAAGTTGGACCATCTCCGTGCGGGTGGTAATCATGACGCCAGTTGGCCTCCAAGTCCCCGCACCAGGGTTCACTCCAGGAGAGAAGCAGATTAACCAGACTGAGGTAAAGATACAGCCATTTAGCTAAGGTTCAGAAATGAATCATTTCACTTGTGCATGTTCACAAGTCCATAAAAGTGGTTCAGAATCCTCACTATACCATCTTCTAGTCAATTATGAAGCTGTTTCACAGATGTCTACACACATTGAGACTCGTGTGGCTATTTGGCAAGGGAGACCCGTTGATACCTTGCCAAATAGCTAAGTGTGAGTTTCAATGATGATTGTAGGACATGGGACCCTCCTGGCCTGGACACTCACTGGGTAAATGTGTCGAGCTAAATTTTACACCAGTCCTTGTCAAGCATCATTTGCACCCCATCACCGAATGGATGGATTTCAAGATCTTCTCACTGATTTTCAAATCCCTTCATGCCCTCGCACCTCCTTACTTATCTGATCTGCTTAACCCCCCACTCAACCACCCGCTGCCTCCAGCCTCCTGTTTGTTCCTTGTGTCCTCCGTTTCACCATTGGTGATCGTGCCTTCGGCCACAAACACTTTGGGACTCTCTCCCTCAATCCCTCCGTCTTGCCCTCTCATTCCCCACCTTTAAATCCCACGTAAATACCTTTTTGATCGTGCTTAAGGTCACCTCTCCCCCCCGCCTCTTCCCCTGGCTAGGGGTCAGACTCCGCCACTGTCAAGCGCTCCGGGACACTACCACGTGTGAAGGGCATAATATAAATGCAAGTTGTGTTGTCACTGTAAATCACTGCACCCTGACAGCCCCAGAGGATGACCCCTATTTAGTGAATCTTCTCAAAATATTGACCAAGAGAATAATCTTGAGCTTGGGTTTTGTCCCTTTCCTTCTGTCAAGCTGTTTGGCCAAAGGAAAGGCCTTGCTCAGTGAACTAGTGCTATAATGGTGCAGAACCCTTAACAGTTAGTGATCGTTTCGTTAAAGACAAGCGTGCTTCTGAGATGGGGCACTTGTGCCTGGATTGTTCCATCATGCACAGAATTGCTTGTCTCGTCTAGAAATGTCCTCTAAGGGAACAAGGAAAAATTGATTACTACATCCTCCTAAAGCCCTGAGGGAATGCTTGCATGTCAGCTGCTCATGTCTCTTGTAGGTGTGCACGAGGGAGGAGCAGGAGATCCTGGTTCGTGATTCCAACAAGAGTCAGAGATTACGGAAGAAGCTCATGGCGACGTCTGGTCAGTTATTTTACTGTTTGATTCTGCATTATAGATTAAACTCCCATCAGTTAGGGTGTGTTCGAGCACTCGCCTCACAAGCTAGAGACGTGGGTTCAATTCCCGGCTGGGTGAAATCTTAGGCAAGTTTCCTTACTCCAAAATACTGCAGCTGCTGGAAATCTGAAACAAAAACAGAATTCGCTGGGAACACTCAGCATGTCAGGCAGCATCTATGGAGGAAGGAAAGTTTGGGGTCCATGACCCTTCGTCAGACCTGGGTTCGATTCCTGGCAGAGCAAAACGTCACGCAAGTTTCCTTCCTCCACACACCTAGCAATAAGTAGAAACCCAGTTGTTAATTGATTGGCAGATCGCTTTTCCGGAGGTAATAATTTCTTCAAAAAAATAGAAATAATAAATTGGTTACTTTATTCCACAACTGCTTGTGGGACGCTGCTGTGCACAATTCGCTGCCGTGTTTCGCCCACAAATACAGTCAATTCACTTTACAGTGAATTCTGTGAAGTGCTTTGAGACATCTCAAAGACTTGATAAGGCAAATGTAAGGATTAATCCTTGATTTTCATATAACCCCTTATTACGTCATTGAGTCATCTCAAAGCGCTTCACAATATACTGTAAAGTGGATTGACTGTCGATATTGTAGGCAAAATATAAAACCTATAATTGCCTAAATCGTACTTGCACCCAGGTCCCTTCAGTTTCCAAAAAACACTTGGATTTCTTTGCTCTAGTCGTATTTTACAAGTCAGATAAACAGCTAAGTGATAATAATTTCTTGGTCCCTCTGCAAATCATCTTCCAACGCTTATCGCTGCTCCCGCACTTACCAGCTGCCCTGATGTCACCATGTGAGCTGAGTTTGAAATACTAGGTCTGGATGAGCGTAAACTTCCTGCAGCTGAATGTTGGCAAGATGGAAACTATACTCTTTGGCTCCCGTCAATGTCTTCTCTCCTACAGCTCTGATCTCCTCAACCTCCCCAGGCTCTCCCTCAGGCTCACTGAACCTGTGTGTAACTTAGGCGTCAGGATTGAACCTGAGGTGTCCTTCCTACTCCACATCTGGTCACTCACCAGGATCACTTTCCTCCACCTCCTTCACATTGCACCCCCCTTCACCCTTACCTCACAACATTACATGTAATGGAGGTGAATAATATTAATGAAAATAATCCTCACATTACTGATAGATTGGAAAGAAAGATTGGCAGGTAAGACAGCAAACGAACAATAGGAAGCCTTCAAGGAGGAGATAGTTCGGGGACAGAGCAAATACATTCCCACAAAGGGGAAAGGTAGCACAGTCAAACCTCCCTGGATGGCTAAGGAATTTAGGATTAAAATAAAACAGAAAAAGGAGGCTCAGACAAATGTCAGGTTCAAAACACACAGGATAATCAAATAGAATATAGGAAGTACAGAGGAGAAGTGAAAAGGGAAATAAGAAGGGCGAAGAGATTGTACGAGAAAAGATTAGCAGGAAACATAAAAGGGAACCCTAAGGTATTTTATAAGCAGATCAAGAGTAAAAGGTTAGTTAAGGGTAGGGTGGGTCCAATTTGGGACCCAAGTGAAAATCTTCTTGTTGAGGCGGAGGACATGGCGGATGTACTAAATAAGTGCTTTGCAACTAAATAGTCTTCACTAAAGAAGACGATGCAACCAATACCACAATATCAGGCGCGTGAACAGAAATTGGATATGATAAAAATCAACAGAGAGGAGGTACTAAAAAGGCTGTTGGTGCTCAACATAGGTAAGTCACCTGGTCCGGACGGGATGCATCCTAGGTTACTGAGGGAAGCAAGGGTGGAAATAGCGGAGGCTCTGGCCACAATCGTTCATTCATCTTTGGACACCGTGGTGGTGCCAGAGCACTGGAGGGTTGCAAATGTGATTCCCTGTACAAAAAGGGGCAGAAGGATAAACTCGGGAACGACAGGCCAGTCAGCCAAACGTCAGTAATAGGGAAACTTCTGGAGACGATAATCCGGGACAATATAAGTTCTCATTTAGAAAAATATGGTTTAATAAAGGACAATCAACACAGATTTGTTAAAGGCAGATCATGTCTGACAAACCTAATAGAATTTTTTGATGAAGTGACTGAGAGGGTGGGTGAAGGTAGTGCAGTAGATGTAGTTTATTTAGATTTTCAAAAGGCATTTGACAAAGTGCCACATAAGAGACATAAACAAAATAGAGGCCCACGGTATTAAAGGGACTGTGGCAACATGGATCCAGAACTTGCTGGGAAACAGAAAGCAGAGAGTGGTAGTAAACGGTTGCTTTTCTGACTGGAGGGAGGTGTGTAGTGGTGTCCCTCAGGGGTCGGTATTGGGACCACTGCTCTTTCTGATCTATATAAATGATCTGGAATAAAGGGGGCGAAATTTCCAAATTTGCAGACGATACTAAGCTACATAAGCACATAAGCAAATCTCTGAAGGTGGCGGGAAAAGCATCTGGGATACTAGGGTTTATAAATAGGGGCATAGAATACAAAAGTCAGGAGGTTATGTTGAATATTTTTAAATGCTGTTGGGCCTCATTTGGAGACTGTTCAGTTCTGGGCTCCGCATTTTAGGAAAGGTGTTAGGGAATTGGAGAGGGTGCAAAGGAGGTTTACCAGGATGGTACCAGGGATGAAGGACCTTAGTTATGAGGAGAGGTTAGCAAAACTAGGATTATTCTCCCTGGAGCAGAGAAGATTAAGAGGGGATTTAATAGAGGTTTTCAAGATCATGAGAGGATTTGATAGGTTGAACCGGGAAACACTGTTTCCACTGCATGTGGGTCAGTAACCCGAGGACACCGATTTAAGATAGTTGTTAAAGGAAACAGAGGGGAGGTGAGGAAAAAACATTTTCACCAACGAGTTGTTGGGATCTGGAATGCATTACCTGAAAGTGTGGTCGAAGCCGATTCAATAACAACTTTTAAGAGAGAAGTAGATGGGTATTTGGGGAGGACAGTATTGCAGGGCTATGGAGAGAAAGCGGGCCGGTGGGATTGAGTTGGAAGCTCTTTTAGGAGCCAAAGCAGACACGATGGGCCAAATGGCCTCTTTCTGTGCTGTATGATTCTGTGATTAAAGGTGCTGCTCTTTTCCAGCTGGGAATTCTGATAGCTTTGAGAGGGACCTGTTGCCTCACCAAGAAACGCTTTTGAAGACTGGGCTGGAGAAAGCAATTAAACACAAGGACAAGCTATTAGAATACGACAAAACCAGGTAAGAAGAGAGATTAGCCTCATAACTGATTTAATAAATTAATTGCTCTGAATTACACTGATTACAGATTTTGTTGTATAACAAAGATGTCATCATATAAGTGTACAGAGTCCAGGAAAAGTATTAAAAACAAAGTTTCCTGCTCCACTATACTGTTATACAGGGTGACCAAAAAGTTGTGATACCATTACAATCCCTAATAAGTCTTAACAAAATGATATATATAAACATTTTTTTAGATAATCGGGTAGTTATCATCCCTTTTTGGTCATCCTGTATGTAGGGAATAATGTGAATTTCTTGTGCAACAGAATAGACATCTACAGTATAATGATTTGTACATAGGATCAGAAAGACTGAATGAGATGGCATTGAATTCTGTAATTCCACAAGGCGTTGCACCTGGCAGAGGCTTAGCAAGCTTCCCTGGCTCAAATGGCTGCTTGAGGTAGTGGGTGGCGGCAGCCTACACTAGGGCATTGGTCACTGGCTAAGGCAAGTCCAGCTCTCACCAGCTCCTGGGAAATACAATCCAGAAGAATCTTCACCTTTGCCATGTTCTCAATGCCACTCCTGCAAAGAAGGTTGAGTGACGCAGGACAGGGAATCTGTTATTAGTACCTGGTGTAGTAGCCAGGGTTAGCTTCAGCCCTGAAGTAATGTGTGTCAGCATGGCGCACTCTCACCTCTGGACAGAAGGATGTGGGTGCAAGCCCCACTTCGGGACTTGAACTCCTACAATCTAAGCTGACATGCAATGCAACGCTCGGGGGAGGGGGTCAGAGGTGGCATCCTTTGGATGAGACGCTATCTGAGCTCTCCTCTGTGCCTGCTCAGGTGGACAGATCTTGTGATACTATTCAAAAAAAAAGGTTTCTCCTGTTGCCCTGGCCAACAACCACCCCCCCCATGCCCCCGCCCCAAATAAAATTGGTCATTCATTTCAAGGCTGTTTGTGGAACTTTGCTGTATGCTGTTGGGCTGCAATGTTCACCCATAAATACACACAATCCACTTCACAAAAAATCCTGTGAAGCACTTTGGGACGTCCTTCAAACATGAAAGACGCTATGTAAATGTAAGGAATAATACAATACAAAATTACATTTGTAAAGTGCCTTTCACATCAGGAGGACTTACCAAGGCGCTGGACAGTCAGGTAATGTATCTGGAGACATCAAAGGAAATGGTTCCCAAAAATACATTCACTGCATCCAATCTATTTTGTTAAATTAATCATCATCCTTGGATTTGATGCCAATTTATGTATTTTGTGGGTAAGATGAGCGTAACTGCAGTGAAGAACGTTATGCATCACTCCCAAAAGGCTAGCTCTTGTTCAATTCTTTTATCAGACCTATGATTGTCAAGTGGAGTCCTGTAGCTCAGTGGTTAGGGCACTCGCTTTGTAAGCGAGAGACCTGAGTTCAATTCCAAACAAGGACATTGCTGTGCGCAATTGGCTGCCGCGTTCGCCCACAAATATACAGTCAATTCACTTTACAGTGTCTTCTGTGAAGCACTTTGGGACGTCCTCCCGACGTGAAAAGCGCTATATCAAATGCAAGGATTATTATCATTATTATTAAGTGATTGCCAGTTACTAAAGGTATAATCAAAATAATAAACTACAACATTTTGGTGACTGGCATTAATTCAAGTAAATATGTGAGTCCTCTTCCCCCAGACAGCTGTGTTATACAATAGTACAGTCAACCTGATTCATCTGTCAGTTCCTGCCCAGTTCCTGCTGGGTAATCACAAATTCAGTTTTTCTTTCTTTTTTTTTGTCTTCCAGGTAATGTGCTCCAGAGAGTATCAGCTACGCATGCAGAAACCGCAGTTAATTCCTTGTCCATGAATTTGACAAATTAGCATTCTTGCACAGGTTTAACTCAGATCATGTGACCGTATTAAAAAGAACATAAGAAATGCTAGACGAAAAAAGACCATCTAGTTCATCTTCCACCTTCCTAGCATTCGCTTGCACATATCCCAAACCTATGCACCATATCCCATAATGTTATTTTCTAAAAGAAAGCTATCTAATCTGTGTTGTGCCTCTTTTGTTTCTCAGTGCTCGACGCACACAGGTCATTGACGATGAGTCTGATTACTTTACGTCAGACACCAACCAATGGCTGTCCAAACAGGAGCGAGAGGCATTACGCTTGCGGGATGAAGAATTACGAGATTTACGACACGCATCTCGTCAAACAAGGAAGATCACGATAGACTTTGCAGGGAGACAGGTCCTGGAAAGTGAAGATCATTTGGATCAGTACTACAACAGGTTAACAGTTTTTGAATCTTAATTTATCAAAGTCGACTTTATCGTTTCTCGATCAATATTATTACTCACCTCTGGTGGGTGGGTCGGTAACCAGGGGACATAGATTCAAGATAATTGGCAAAAGAACCAGTGGGGAGATAACACAGAGAGTTATCACGGTCTGGAATGCGCTGCCTGAAAGAGTGGAAACCTATTCAATAACAACTTTCAAAAGGGAATGGATAAGAACTTGAAATGGAAAAATTTGCAAGGATTTGGGGTAAGAGCGGGGGAGTGGGTCTGATTGGGTGGCTCTTCCAAACATTCGGCACAGGCACGATGAGCTGAATGGCCTCCTGTGCTGTGATCATAGAATTATACAGCACAGAAGGAGGCCAATTGGCCCATCGTGTCTGTGCCGGCATTTTGAAAAGAGCTTCCAAATCAACCCCACTCCCCCGCGCTCTCCCCATAGCCCTGATCAACCCCACTCCCCCGCGCTCTCCCCATAGCCCTGATCAACCCCCCCCCCCGCGCTCTCCCCATAGCCCTGATCAACCCCACTCCCCCGCTCTCTCCCCATAGCCCTGATCAACCCCACTCCCCCGCTCTCTCCCCATAGCCCTGATCAACCCCACTCCCCCGCTCTCTCCCCATAGCCCTGATCAACCCCACTCCCCCGCTCTCTCCCCATAGCCCTGATCAACCCCACTCCTCCGCCCTCTCCCCATATTCCCACAAACTTCCCCAAATAATTATCTTCTCTCTTAAAAGTTGTTATCGAATTGGCTTCCACCACCATTTCAGGCACTGCATTCCAGATTCCAACAACTCGCTGTGTGAAAACATTTCTCCTCCCCTCCCCTCAGTTTCTTTTAACAACTATTTTCAATGCGTGTCCTCGGGTTACCGACCCACCTGCCAGTGGGAATAGTTTCTCCTTGCTCACACTATCGAATCCCCTCATAATTTTGAAAACTTCTATTAACCTCCTAACCTTCTCTGCTCTAAGGAGAATAATCCCGGCTTCTCTGCCTCTCCTGGTAACTGAAGTCCCTCATTCCTGGTACCATCCTGGTCAATCTCCTCTGCACCCTCTCCAATGCCTTGACATCCTTCCTAAAAGTGTGGGGCCCAGAACTGAGCACAGTCTCTCGCTGAGGCCTGACCGGTGTTTATAAAGGTTCATCATAACTTCCTGACTTGTGTATTCTATGCCCCTATTTATAAAGCCCAGTATCCAGTATGCTTTTTAACAGCTTTATCTACCTGTCCGGCCAACTTCAAAGATTTACTTATATGAACCCCCAGGTCTCTCTGTTCCTTCAGCCCCTTTAAGATTGTACCATCAGCTTAGCAGCCATGGCAGGGAGACAAGAAGACTCTGCTGCCTTCCTGAGGGTAGGGTGAAGGACTTCACTTCCGGGCTGGAGAAAAATTTGAAGCAGGAGGGAGTGGATCCAATTGTTATGATTCACATAGGGACCAATGATGTAGGTAGGACAGGTAGGGACGAGTTGAGGAGCAAGTTCCAGGAATTGGGAGTTGAGTTAAAGAGTAGAACTTCGAAGGTATTAATATTGGGATTATTACCTGAGCCGGGGGCAAATTGGTACAGGCAAACAAAAATTAAAGAACTGAATGCCTGGCTAAAAGAATGGTGCGGAGGGCAGGGGTTTCACTTCATGGGCCACTGGCACCAGTATTGGGGGAGACGGGAGCTATTCCAAAGGAATGGACTCCACCTAAACAGGGCTGGGACAAATGTCCTGGCGACACGATTAAATAGGGAGGTAGACAGGGCTTTAAACTACTAAGCGGTGGGCGGGGGAGGGGGTAAAATCAATCACATGTAATCCATCACAAGTAAAATTAGGACCGATGAAAGTGGAAGAGCAGATTAACCAGGGAGATGAGCAAAGTGTGTCAAGCGGGGAAAGGAAGCCCAGGGCTAGGGTACTGGTGAATAGGACTAATAGCCTGAAGTCAGAATTAAAGGTGCTATATCTGAACGCGCGAAGTATTCGAAACAAGATAGATGAACTAACTGCACAAATAGAAACAAACGGGTATGATCTGGTAGCCATCACCAAGACACGGTTACAGGGTGATCAAGGGTGGGAGCTAAATATTCCAGGGTTCGTGGTGTATAGAAAAGATAGGCAATTTGGTAAACAAGGTGGGGGGTTAGCCCTGCTAATAAAGGATGGGATAAAAACAGTAGAGAGGAAAGATTTTAAATCAGAAAAGCAGGAAGTAGAGTCAGTATGGGTAGAGGTATGTAACAACAAGGGGCAGAAATCTCTAGTGGGAGTAGTTTATAGACCCCCGAACAGCATCATAGTATCTTTCAAGGTATAAATCAGGAAATTAGCGGAGCATTTAGCAAAGGAAAAACATTAATTGTGGGTGATTTTAATATAGATTGGGACAATCAAATTGGGAAAAGTAAGATAGAGGAAAAGTTTACAGAATGTACTAGGGATAATTATCTAGATCAGTGTGCCGAGGAGCCAACCAGGGAACAGGCCATATTAGACCTTGTTTTGTGTAATGAAGCAGAGCTGATCAGCTAAGTGGAACTTAAGGCTCCTCTCGGGCAAAGTGATCATAATATGATGGAAGTTAGAGAGAGAAGTAGTTAAGTCTGAAGCAAAGGTCTTAAATTTAAGTAGAGCCAACTTTGCTGGTATGAGAGAGGATTTAGCTAAAATAAACTGGGAAATTAGACTGAAGGATTTGACAGTAGACCAGCAATGGCAGACGTTTAAGGAGATAGTGCAAAATTCCCAGCGAGCACCTATTCCTTTGAGGAATAAGAATGCCACGGGAAAGGTGGCCCAACCGTGGCTAACTAGAGCAGTTAGGGACAGTATAAAGTTAAAGGAAGAAGCCTATAAAACAGCTAAGATGAGTAGTAAACCCGAGGATTGGGAGAACTTTAGGGATCAACAAAGGAGAACTAAAAAAGTGATTAAGAGGGAGAAAATGGAATATGAAGGCAAACTAGCGAGGAACATAAAGACAGACTGCAAGAGGTTTTACAAATATATAAAGAGGAAGAGGTAAATGTGGGTTCGCTACAGGCAGAGACGGGGGGAATTATAGGGGACAAAGACATTAAACAAGTACTTTGCTACTGTCTTCACCTTAGAAGACACTGAAAACCTACCAAGAATAGAAGGGAACCAAGAAGACAATGTTAGCGATCAACTTGGGGGAATTGATATTAGTAAAGAACTGGTTATAAGTAAATTATCAGGTCTTAAAACTGATAAACCCCTGGACCTGAGGGCCTACATCCGAGGGTTTTAAAAGAGGTGGCTACTGAGATAGTGGATGGCTTGTCTTTGATCTTCCAAAATTCTCTGGATTCTGGAACGGTTCCCATTGATTGGAAGATTGCAAATGTAACACCACCATTTAAGAAGGGTGGGAGAGAAAAGATGGGGAACTATAGACCAGTTAGTCTGACATCAGTGGTAGGGAAAATTCTTGAGTCCTTAATTAAGGATGTCGTTATGGGATTCCTGGAAGACCATAACAAGATTAGGCAGAGTCAACATGGCTTTACAAAAGGGAAGTCATGCTTAACTAATCTTTTAGAGTTTTTTGAAGATGTATCTGCAGGTTAGATAGGGGGGAACCAGTAGATGTAGTATATTTAGATTTTAAAAAGGCATTTGACAAAGTGCCACACAAAAGGCTATTGCACAAGGTTAAGGCCCACGGGATTAATGGGAACATATTAGCATGGATTGAAGAGTGGCTAACGGGTAGAAAACAGAGAGTAGGGATAAACGGGTCATTCTCGAATTGGCAGGATGTGACTAGTGGAGTGCCACAAGGATCAGTGCTTGGGCCTCAGCTATTTACAATTTACATCAATGATCTAGACGAGGACATTGAATGTAACGTATCTAAATTTGCGGATGACACTAAACTCGGTGGGAGAGTAAGCTCTGAGGATGATGCAAAAAGATTGCAACGGGATATAGATAGGCTCGGGGAGTGGGCGAGTAGGTGGCAGATGGAATTTAATGTGGGGAAGTGTGAAGTTATTCACCTCGGTAGCAAAAATAGAAAAACAGATTATTTTCTAGAGGGGGAGAGATTAGATAGAGTTAGTGTTCAGAGGGATTTGGGTGTCCTTGTACACCAGTCTCAAAAAGTTAGTTTGCAGGTGCAGCAGCAACTAAGAAGGCGAACGGCAGTTAGCGTTCATTGCAAAAGGTTTAGAGTACAGGAGTAGGGAAGTCTTGCTGCAACTGTATAGGGCTTTGGTGAGACCGCACCGAGAGTATTGTGTGCAGTTTTGGTCTCCTATTTAAAAAAGGACATACTTACCCTCGAGGGGGTGAAGCAATGATTCACTCGGTTAGTTCCTGGAATGAGGGGACTGACCTCTGAAGAGAGGCTGAATAAACTAGGGCTGTATTCTCCAGAGTACAGAAGAATTAGGGGGATCTTATTGAAACATATAAGATTCTTAAAGGGCTGATAAAGTAGTCACTGAGGGTCTGTTTCCCCGGTAGGAGAATCTATAACCAGGGGTCACAGTCTGAAAATTAAGGGTCAGCCTTTTAGGACAGAGTTGAGGAAACATATGGAATTCACTACCCCAGAAGGCTGTAGATGTCAGTCCTTGAACATTTTCAAGGCTGAGACTGATAAACTTTTAAAAAATAGAGAGATTAGGGGATATAGGGATAGGGCAGGTAATTAGAGTTAGGTCTGAAGATCAGACATGATCTTATTGAATGGCGGGGCAGCTCGAGGGGCTGAATGGCCGTCTCCTGCTCCTAATTCTTATGTTCTTATATCGCCTCTCCTCCCAAAATGCATCATTTTGCATTTTTCCACATTAAACTTCCATCTGCCCCGTGTCTGCCCATGTTACCAGTCTGTCTATGTTCATTTGCAGTCTGTTACTATCCTCCTCACTGTTTATTACTTTTCGTAGCTTAGTGTCATCTGCAAACTTGGAGATTGTACTCCCTATACCCAAGTCCAGGTCAGTTATATGCAATATTCTATGATTCTGTAAACTCATTAATGTATAAATGGTGAACCTCCACTGATGGTCCAGTGGGTAAAGGCAAAGGGTCACCAGGGATGGTGTAGTGCCACATGCTCATTGTTGTTAACTCAGGGTTGGTGTTGGTCACAAGCTGGCAGTGTGAGGCCCCCGTTTCACCATGTGCCGTTGCTGGCTGGATACGCAGTTGAAAGATTTAATGAAAGTTGCTTTTGCGGCATATGAAAACAATTAAGAATGACTTAATATGATTGAACTGACAAAATGATAAGAGCATAAGAATTTGCTTGGCGAAAGAAGACCAAGCAAAGTCCATCTAGTTCGTCTCCCACCATCTGGCAGTCGCTTGACGTGTCATGACATGACATGATATATAGTCCCAAACTATATAAGAACATAAGAAAGCTGATTTAAAAAAAACCTTTATGAATAATTCTCCAGAGATTGCTTTCTGCTCTGGCGTGTAGCAGATTCTGAATCCGTCATATGATTTGAGGCAGGCATTGTTTGGTGGGTGCAGGTTTGCGGTGTGTACAGTCTGTGCTGTTCAGTAATGGCTAGGATCACTTTGTGTGTTTGTTTATAGACTGGATGAATTTGTACACGAGATCAAAACTGGGGCCCAGAATAGTCACCTCAGCAACCAGGAGGAACGTGCCCAGCGACAACACAAGTTGGGGGAATTAGTCAATCCTGATATCGTCCAGCCTCCTCCTCTGGTAAGCCATGGATTGTGATTCACAATGATTTGAGACTTGTAATATACAGGGCGACCCATATTCCAGCCCTTCCCCATATCCCTCAACTTTATTCTTCCTCACCCACGAGTCCAGTTTGTTTTAACGTGCACATGGCTGATGCCCTCAACCAAAGTTTTTCACTTGTCATGCTTATCTCAGTGTAGAGATCCTGAAACCTGTTAACAATTCTAAATGATCAGAAAGGCTTCAAATAATAATTTGTTCACTCAATCCACCGCTGTTTGTGGGACACTGCTGCACCCAAATGGCTGCTGCGTTTTGCCCACAAAATGTACAGCATATTCAGTGAAGTGCTGTGAAACATCTTGAAGATATGATAAGGTGCTTTATCAAATCCAGTTATTATTATTAGCTGAAACTGAGGGGATCCAAATCTTAGTTGAGTATTTATGTTTGCTTTATTGTTGTACAAGTTTAACTTCCCTTGAATATCCCTATCAGTTTGTGTGTGTGTGTCTCCCCCCCCCCCACCCCTTCAGCCTCCTCTCTTTGTTCAGAGAATTCAGATCTCACAATGAGTGTTGTGAGTGACAGGATGATTTGAATGGTTTGATCCTCCTAGTTGTTCCCCTGTGAAGTGGACAATTCGTCCTCAGTCTTACTATAATTCGACAGTCCCTTCCTCCTATTAGGGGAGAAATCACCCCACAGGCATTGTCCCTGCAAGTTTCCACACCTACTTGCACGTGATTTTGCCCGGCTTTACTTGTCTCACGTACAGCCTCTTTGAGCATGTGTTGCTTGAAGTTGGAATTCTAGAGGTTGTTTCCAATGTTCCTCTTATCTCATGAAATGTCAGCCTGGCTCAGTTGGTAGCACTTTTGCCTCTGAGTCAGAAGATTGCAGATTTAAGCCCACCATTGGGACTTTGAGCTCTTAGTCTGTACTGTTGCTCTAATACAGTGCTGGGAGAGAGATTGTAATAATAAATAATTCTTGCATTTGATACAGCGCTTTTTAGGTCTTCCAGAAAATGGATTAACTGTATATTTTGTGGGCGAAATGTGGCAGCCAATTGCGCACAGCAATGTTCCACAAACAGTCGTGGATTGAAATGATCAATTTATTATTTTTTTTCTTGAGGGATTATTATCAGGTGTGTTGAGTAAGGAAACTTGCCCAAGGTTTCGTCTTACCAGGGATCAAACCCAGATCTCTCGATCGTGAGGTGAGTGCTTTAACCCCTGAGCTACAGGACTCCTGGATTCTTTATCGAACATGACATCCTTCAAATGAGAAGTTAACCCGAGGTCCTGCCTCGGTCTGCTTGTTCAGGTGGATGTTCCAGGACAGCATTGGAAAAGAGATGGTAGTTTCTTTCAGTGTTTTGGTTAACAATCCACCAAATAAAAATATAATCATTCACTTGATGACTGCCTCTTTACTTAAGAATGTACAACTGCTACACTGTACAGGAGATCCTTTGTAAAGCACTTTTTTAGATATTCCGTCAACATGACAAAGTACTATAACAAAGGTAAGGATGGTGTATAATGACTGCTGTTAAGTTAGGTCATTGATTGTCTACTCTTACAACAACAACTTGCACACATAGTGCCCTTCAAGCGAGGTAGCATCCCAGAGTGCTGGACAATGACGGAGTCTGACTCTGAGCCGGGGCAGAGGGAGGGGGGTGGTGACTGTAACCACAATCAAAAAGGAAGTTTTTTAACGAAGGGTGGGGAGTAGGAGTGGGGCAGTTTGGAAGATGGTGGCTCGGGTCAGTATGAATTGGTATGAACCATTGTGCTCTTTACGCAGTGGGTGGAGCAGACCGGTACAGGGAGCGCGAGGCGAGGGCTGGGTTGTCGTTTGTCGAGTGCAGACAATGATGGCGGCTCAGAGAGAAGCCGACTACGTATCCAGGACCGAGAGTTGCTGGAAATCTCTGATAGCGGAATGTGCCTCAGCATGCACCAGCCTTGGGCTTCACTGCTCATCACAGGCATCAAAAGGTATGTAAAAGTAGATGTACGCATTACAAAGCAGGTATTATTTAATTTCACCCACAAAATACACAGTCACTACACTTTCGAGTATATGCTGTGATGAACTTTGAGACGTCTCAATGACGTGATAAGCTGTTGGATCAAATGCAAGAATTATTATTAATAATTATTATATTGTTAGCAGTAAAACATTAGATTAATTTAACAATGGTGCTAGATTAACAGTCACGTGAAAAATAAAGTTTATGTAAATTATTTAAGACGGACTCAGAGAGGCACTTGGATTTTATAAATTCACGTGAGATTGTTTTTTTTAGAAAATATAATTTTTGCTTTTCTGTTGGTTTTCCTGATAAAGACATAAAGGATTATTATTGCTTAATTGCCAATGTTGGGATAACGTTGCTAATATTTCATATCTTCTAGTTCAAAATGTATAAGGTTGTATAAAGCAAAAGAACCAGAGGGGAGATGAGGAGAAATTTCTTTACCCAGAGAATTGTTACGGTCTGGAATGCGCTGCCTGAGAGGGTGGAAACAGATTCAAAATCAACTTTCAAAAGGGAATTGGATAGGTACTTGAAGATGAAAAATTTGCAGGGCTATAATAAAATAATAATAATCCTTGCATTTGATATAGCGCTTTTCACGTCTTCTCGACGTCTCAAAGCGCTTCACAGAACACACTGTAAAGTGAATTGACTGTATATTTGTGGGCGAACGCGGCAGCCAATTGCGCACAGCAATGTCCCACAAACAGTCGTAGATTGAAAATGACCAATTTATTATTGTTTTTGGTTTTGGAGGGATTATTATTAGGCTCTGTGTGGAGTAAGGAAACTTGCCCAAGGTTTCGCCCTCTGCCTGGAATTGAACTCAGGTCTCTCGCTTGCAAAGCGACTGCTCTAACCACTGAGCTACAGGACTCCTTATGGGGTAAGAGCGGAGTAAGAGTGGGTAGCTCTTTCAAGGAGCTAGCACAGGCATGATGGGCCGAATGGCCTCCTTCTGTGCTATAATATTCTATGACTCTAAGGTCTCCTGCCTTGCCAGGACTACAGAGGTGGAAATTCAGACCAACTCTTAACTTGATTTTGCCATCACATGATCAAATGCAATATAATAACCACTAAGTAAAAAAAACTAAATCGATGCTGAAGTACTCTAGAAAGGATTGAAGGCATAATGTTACTTCATTTAAAGATACAACTTGTCTTTATCACAAACGCTTCGTAATTGTGAAACGGGGAATAGTGGAATAAAATATATCCCTTAGAGTGATGCCGAGGCCAAATATCATTAAACAGCACCTCAACTCCCAAAAATAAGATTACGGGTTTGAAATTACTTTTGTGTTTCTGCCTTTGGCCAATAATTCAAATTGCAGAGGATGTTGTGTTCTCATTGATGATAATGGTTACACTGAAGGATTTACAATTATAATTTTGTCAATAACTTTAACTGTAACTAGCTCATCATAGAATCGTAGAATTATATAGCACAGAAGGCCCATCATGTCTGTGTCGGCTCTTTTAAAAGAGCTATTCAAATTAATCTCACTCCTAATCAACCTCGCTCCCGCACTTATCACTTTGCAGAAGAGACAGCACAGCCCTGCAAACTTGTCCTTCCCAAATAATTATTTGCTTCTCTCTTAAAAGTTGTTATCGAATCGGCTTCCACCGGCCTTTCAGGCAACGCTTTCCAGATCCCAACAACTCACTGTGTGAAAACATTTCTCCTCACCTCTGTTTCTTTTAACAACTATTGTAAATGGGTGTCCTCGGGTTACTGACCCACCCGCCAGTGGGAATAGTTTCTCCTTGTTCACCCTATCAAATCCCTCATAATTTTGAAAACTTCTATTAAGTCTCCTCTTAACCTTCTCTGCTCCAAGGAGAATAATCCCAGCTTCTCTGCCTCTCCTGATAACTGAAGTTATTATCAGAGTCGAGTGAAATTATAATTCACTGTACGAAATGCAAAATACTGCAGATGCTGGAAACCTGAAAAAAACAGAAGTCACTGGGAACACTCAGCGGGTCAGGCAGCATCTATGGAGAGAGGAAAGTGAATTAACGTTTTGGTTCCATGACTCTATTCTGACGAAGGGTTGTGGACCTGAAACGTTGACTCACTTTCCTCTCTCCATAGATGCTGCCTGACCTGCTGAGTGTTCCCAGCGACTTCTGGTTTTGTTTTCATAATTCACTGTTTCTGCTCTGGCATATTCCAGTTAATCTGAAAAACTGGATTGATGATGATGTGAAAGAGGGTTTTGAAACAGCTGCTGTCTCTTCTGCAAAGTGTTGGTAAATTTTCCTTGTGTAATAGCGTTTCCACGATCTTGTACATTGAAGCCTTTATTGCAACAGCAAGGAATGCATTACTACATTAATGTGGTGGTGAGAAAGACCCACCTTATGGTATGTGTATTTCACTTTTGAGCAACAAATCAGTGAACACGGAATAATGGAAATCGGTGTTACAGATTAATGATTTGTCATTTCCATCCCAACAATCTACCTCTGGGATTTCCATGTATAGGTGGGATGCGTAAAATTTTTGGTTTGGAGACTCTTAAGCACGATGATGGGTTTCCGCATGTGTCAGACACCTGACTGGGCAAAAAATAAATCATTTATTGCACAGGCTGCTGAGGAAGCCAGGGTCCATGGTTACCAGCTGGATCCCAATGTGGTCTTTTGAGGTATCGGTGCTGGGCAGCAGGCCAGGCAGGAGCAAGAACCTTGGCTTCAGTTATCTTCCTGTCTCACTTCCTCCCTATCTCAGTAGCACTGAGTCCAATTGCAACAAATCACTGGGATGCTCGGTGATTGACATCAATTGTCTGGTTCGGTCTCACATTGGACAGCAGCCTGCACGTTTGCCATTTCACAGTAAATCCTGTGAAGTGCTACGAGATGTCCTTCTGACCCGATAAGATGGTATACCAAATTCAAGGATTATTATCATAATTTTTTGCTTACCAGCTGAGCTTTTTTTTATTGGAGTAACCTTGTGTACACAGTTGTGATCCAATTGCCCTCATTTTATTGTCATCCTTATAGCTACAAAGAGCACAGTGTGTGTGTGTGTGTATGTGCTTGAAGGGCAAACATGGCTCTAATTAGAATAATTACAGTCCAACTATGGTCTACCTAATCCTATCTCAGTGAACCATTCAAGGATACGTGATTTAATTTAGTTGCCTCATTGAACACTGCATTAAAACTGACTGAAAGGTGCTCATGGTTGGTTGAGAGCATTAAAACTCAATTGAGTATGTCCTTGTCAAGCTAGTCTGAACAAATAAGCAGTGGATCTACAAGTCTGTATGTATGAGGAGACAACGCTTTCTGACAGCAATGTAATTAGGTTTTTAAAAATACTGTATATCCTTGGTGAGATTTTGTCACACCGTCAGTTAAACTCTGCAGTGCTCAGATAACTGTGAGAGAAATAGATTGATGCTAGATTTCCGCAAACCAAGTTTGATGCATGATATCAGAATTTGAGGTGGGGGAGAGCGGTGGGGAGAGTGGGGGGAGGATGGGGTGGGAAAGTGGGGGAGGAGAGGGGAGGGCAGCGGGGGGGGCGGGGAGATGTGGGGTGAGAGGCAGGAGGGAGAGTGGTGGAGAGGCGGGGGGGAGGAGTGGGGCAGGGGGGGAGTGGGGCAGGGGGAGAGTGGGGCAGGGGGGAGAGTGTGGGAGGGGAGAGGGCAGGGAGAGCGAGGGGGAGTGGGGAGGATGGGGGTGGGAAAGTGGGGGAGGGAGAGTGGGGGAGGGCAGCGGGGGAGGGCGGGGAAGAGTGTGGGGGAGGGCAGGAGGGAGAGTGGTGGGAGAGCGGCGGGGGGAGAGAGTGGGGCAGGGGGGAGAGTGGGGCAGGGGGGAGAGTGTGGGAGGGGAGAGGGCAGGGGAGAGCGAGGGGGAGAGTGGGGGAGGATGGGGGTGGGAAAGTGGGGGAGGGCAGCGGGGGAGGGCGGGGAAGAGTGTGGGGGAGGGCAGGAGGGAGAGTGGTGGGAGAGCGGCGGGGGGAGAGAGTGGGGCAGGGGGAGAGTGGGGCAGGGGGGAGAGTGTGGGAGGGGAGAGGGCAGGGGGCGGGGGGGAGGGCAGGGGGGAGAGTGTGGGAGGGGAGAGGAGAGGGTGGGGGGGAGAGTGGGGAGGCAGGGGAGAGCAGGGGAGGGGAGAGCGGGGGAGGGCAGGGGAGAGGGGGGTTCGCGGGAGGGAGCGAGTGGAGTAGGGCGGGGGCAGGGGAGAGGCTGGGGGGAGAGGGGAGTGGGGAGTGAGGGCTGGGGAGAGGGCGGGGGGAGGCGTGGGAGAGGGGAGTGAGGGCAGGGGAGTGAGGGCAGGGGAGAGGGCGGGGGGAGGCGGGGGAGAGGGGAGTGAGGGCAGGGGAGAGGGCGGGGGAGGGCAGGGGAGAGTGGGGAGGCAGGGGAGCGGGGGAGGGCAGGGGAGAGCGGGTGGGGGGGAGGGCAGGGAGAGCGGGAGGGGGGAGAGCAGGAGAGGGGAGAGTGGGGGGGGAGGGCGGGGGAGAGGGCAGGGGAGAGCAGGAGAGGGCGGGGGGGTAGTGGGAGAGGGGAGGGCGGGGCAGAGGGGGTGGGAGAGCGGGAGAAGGGTGGGGAGGGCGGGGGGAGAGCGGGAGAGGGGATAGGAGAGCGGGAGAAGGGTGGGGAGGGTGTGGGGAGAGCAGGGGAGGGAGCGGAGAGTGGGGGAGAGCAGGGGAGGGAGCGGAGAGTGGGGGAGAGCAGGGGAGGGAGCGGAGAGTGGGGGAGAGCAGGGGAGGGAGCGGAGAGAGGGAGAGAGTAGGGGAGGGAGCGGAGAGTGGGGGAGGGCAGCTGAGCCACCCACAAGGCTTCATTGCACTGCTGTTCTTGCACATGTCAGTGTTGCTGCTGTTGTAAACCTTTCCATCCTGTGAATAGAGGGATTGGGCACGTTTCCTTACTCCACATGCCTCTGTTTACCCAACAGTGAGTAGGAATCCGCTTGTTAATCAATTGGCAGATTGCTTTTCCAGGGGTAATAATCCCTTAAAAACAAAACATAAATAAATAAACTAAAAATTGGTCTCAATCCACGGCTGTTTGTGGGACGCTGCTGTGCGTAATTGGCTGCTGAGTTTCGCCCCCAAATTATAGTCAATTCACTTTGCAGCATAATCAGCAAAGGTAAAAGAAAGAGCAGGAGCTCTGCATTTAGTGTTCATGTCAATGGTCTAAAATACAAGGTTTGGAAAATAGTTTTGCCCACAAAATACACAGTCACTACACTTTACAGTGTGAAGCGTTTTGAGATGTCTCAAAGACGTGATAAGGCGGTGTATCAAATGCAAAGATTATTGTTAGCAGTCTCTCACCACAATTCAGAACATAGTTTGTTCTGTCTAAATGAGATGATTTGTTATTTACAGAATGTTTAAATGGAGTAAATACATCTATGTTTTATCAAAAGATCTGAGAGCTATTACAAGACAGTGAACTAAATTAAATGACTAGACTAAAGCATTTGGGATCCAACAGCAGAATGCTGAGTCTGCCACCCTGCAAGACAGATTCTTTTGGTAAATATTTTTTTCTCTGCAGGTTACAATCTGAGTCAAAATCACCTGTTTTCACTGCTATATTGGCACCAGGTTTTTTTATTTTTGATTCACGTGGAATCACAGAATCTTACAGCACAGAAGGGGGCCATTCGGCCCATTGTGCCTGTGCCAGCCCCAACTACCAACTAGTCCTGCTCTTAACCCATAATCCTGCACATTTTTCCTTTTTAAATACCTATCCAACTAAGCTATTATTCAGTCTGTTTCCACCTCGCTTTCAGGCAGTGCATTCCAGACCGTAACAATTCTCTGGGTAAAAAAANGCCTCCTCATCTCCCCTCTGATTCCCACCCTTTGGAACTCCAGCCCGCAGTCCCTTTGCCTTGCTCCATCCCTTGCCTCCTTCAAGGCACGACTCAAGACCCTCCTTTTCGACCGTGCCTTCAGCCGCCCTTCTACCTCTGTATCCTCCCTCATTTCAACCCTGCCCCCTCATGCTCGGGTCCTGATCCCCGACTGTTCAGCGCCTTGAGCTGTTCTCCCAACGTTTTCAAATGTAATTTTATTGTTGTTATTGTTGATCATTGCTCAAGTTCTTGAATCACTGTTTCCTAGTAGAGACGGGGAATTATTTTTATTGGCTGTTTGTACTAAGTTTGAACTCTCACCTCAGTTTCTTAATGACCTATTAACTGCTTCTTGGCCTATGTAGTCAGTCAGTGATCTACCAAACTCCTTTGTGCTGTTAATCTGGTCCTTTGCTATTCAGGTTTGTTGGTGGCTCTGGCCATGTGATTTTCGAGGGGTCTTTGTATGATCACGCCAAAGGAATATTATTGTTTCCTAACTAACAAGTTTGTTGAGTGATCTCCGAAAAAAAAATGCATTTCCACATTCTTTGGGGTATTACTTGGGTCTCATGCTTTCCATTATGGTCTTGGGATCTAAAACGAGAAATACTTATGCTTGGATGGCAAATGCAGATCTAATGATGATATTAGTAGTCTGTCTAAGTGAACAAGACCAAGATATCCGTGTTATTTAGTAATGTCTCACTGAATCCTGGCAACAAATGTAGGGAAAAGTATCTATTGTTCATTGCTGTGGCGGCCCAGATAAGCATACTTTGAGTCAAAGCAGACCAAGTAATAGATAGTGTGTGCAGTGGGTAAAGAGAAGGTGGAAGAGAGAACCCAATGCAATCAACATCATGATTAGATTTCAAACAAAATACTTTAACCTGCTGCCTGTTGTCAATACAATCTTCAATCGTTGCAATGGTGCAAGTGAATAATGATCTGTTGTCAGTGGTGGGGCTTTACTAAGCAGCTCAGCAACACCATGACAGAAGCTTGTCAGCTGCCAACCAGGGCATGATTGTGGTTAGAGCACTCGCCTCCCAATAATTATAATAATGTTTGTATTTGTTATAAGACCTTATCCCGTCTTCGAGACTTCTCAAAGCGCTTCACAGAATATACTGTAAAGTGAATTACTGTGTATTGTGAATGAAATGCGGCAGCCGATTGCGCACAGCAGTTGTGGATTGAGTGACCAAATAATTATTTTTTATAAGGGATTATTACCCCAGGAAAAACAATCCGCCAATCGACTAACAACATGGTTCCTACTTACTGCGAGGTGAACAGAAGCGTGTGGAGTAAGGAAACTTGCCCACTGTTTCTCCCTGGCTGGGATTCGAACCCAGGTCCATTCGCTGCGAGGCAAGTGCTCTAACCACAGCAACAGGATTCCATGTTAAGATGTTAACAAACACGTCCTGTTGCTGAAACTCTTTGTGAAACATTTAGAATAGGTTCTGTACAAAATACTAAGATGTTAGTATTTTGTACAGAACCTATTCTAAATGTTTGAAATCTGTCTTGAGTCATTACAATTGCTTCCTTTTCTCCTTGGTTGCTAGGGCAGAGGGGAGGACCTGGTACACGTCACACCGAGGCCGGCTATGGATTGCAGCAGCTGCCAAAAAACCTTCATCACAGGAAATAGCAGAGATTGAACAAAGCTATAAGGCGATGTATGGCAAAGGTAAAAGAAAGAGCAGGAGCTCTGCGTTTAGTGTTCATGTCAATGGTCAATGTCAATGGTCTAAAATACAAGGTTTGAGAAATAGTCACTACACTTCACAGTAAAACCTGTTTGAGAGTAAAACCTGTTTACTTCATAGTAAAACCAGCTCCTTGGGACGTCCTCCCGACGTGAAAGGCGCTCTATAAATGGAATCTTGTTGTTGTTGTTGTAAAACCGTCTCGAAGACGTGATAAGACGCTGTATCAAATGCAGGGTTATTATTCTAGTTAAAAAAGAGACTCCCAAGTGGTTAATTCAGAGCTCCACTTGCCTTGTGTCACATCGGGCCTAACAGTAGAATGTTGGTACAATACTGTGTGACCATAGTCGTTACCATTTTCACGTGTGAGCCTTACTTGTGATTGACAACAACAACAAGATTACATTTGTACAGCGCCGTTCAGACCCGAGTTGGGGGGGGGGAAGGGAGGGGAGGGAAAGGTGGGTGGCCGATGGCATGGTCGAAGAGGAGGGTTTTGGGGCGGGACTTGAAGGAGGCTTAGGAGGGGGCGAGGCGGAGTGATTGGGGGATGGAATTCCAGAAGTTGGGGGCAGAGTGGCTGAAGGCTCTCCCCTCAATGGTGGGGCGGGTGGGTCGGGGGACGTGGAGCAGCCAGAGTTGGCTGAGCGGAGGGAACGGGCGGATTGGTAGGGGGTTAGGAGGTTGCAGAGGTAGGGTGGGGCGAGGTCATGGAGGGCTTTGTAGGTGAGGACCAGGATCTTGAACTGGATCCTCTGAAGGATAGGGAACCACTGGAGTCGGGCGAGAGTGGGGGAGATGGGGTCACGGAGTTTGGTAGAGGGAGGAGTTGGGAAGGCCGACACGCAGGGAGTTTGCATAGTCGAGCCCGGAGGTGATGAAGGCATGAACAAGAGTTTCAGCGGCCTGAGGGGTGAGGTAGTGGCGGAGTCGGGTGATGTTACGGAGTTGAGGGAAGGCAGAGCGGGTCATGGCTTGAATGTGGGGGAGAAAAGACAGTTGAGGGTCAAACAAGTCACCCAGGTTCCTGACTGGCTGGTGAGTTGAAGTGTGCAACAGGCAATGTAGCAGCAACTGATTTGAGTCTGTTTTCACACAACCTTCATATGTGTGCACCTTCTGAATAGTGATAAACAAAGGAAAGTCTGGCTTTTAAAAATTTTCTCTCTCTGCCCCCATCCCCCCCGGTCAAATGCAGGGAACTGAGACCAAGTGTATTACTGCAGTATTAGCATGGCTGAGGTCAGGTAACTCAGCACAGGCTGGGAACTGAACTCGACCCAAGTTAGGTTAGGCAAGTGTGAGGCAAGATGCACACTGGCACTTGGTGGGGGGCACTGGGGGTGTGAGGTGAGGGTGGGCACACTGTGTGTGTGGGTGTGCGATAAGGTGCAGAATGAAAACAATTCATAGAATCATACGGCACAGAAAGAGGCCATTCGGCCCATCGTGTCTGCGTTGGCTCCTAAAAGAGCTTCCAATTCAATCCCACCGGCCCACTTTCTCTCCATAGCCCTGCAATCCTGTCCTCCCCAAATACCCATCTACTTCTCTCTTAAAAGTTGCTATTGAATCGGCTTCCACTACCCTTTCAGGTAATGCATTCCAGATCCCAACAACTCGCTGGTGAAAATGTTTTTCCTCACCTCCCCTCTGTTTCTTTTAACAACTATCTTAAATCAGTGTCCTCGGGTTGAGGTGATCTGGCCGGATTTAAAGCGATGTAGAGCAGGAAGGCTAAATCTAATCCCATATTGCTTCACTCTGGAGCAAAGCAGCTTCATTCCTGGTGGCATAAAATGATGAGGAAAAGTGTGGAACAAGGGGGACTGCAGAAGAACTTTGTTCCATTTCCTGCCACCTCAGCTATTCTGTGACTGAGTTTATATCTAGTTGATAAGTAGAGAGCCCAGAGTAAGCTATGTCCAGAGTGAGGCGAGGCCAGAGTGTGAGGGAATTTGGTGAGAGTGGGAATTCGGTGCAGAGGCGGAAGTGGGGGCAGGCTATATATCTTTGTATCTATATAAAGATTGTGAAGATGGTGTGGCAGGTAAACTGCTAGGTCTGTCATATGTGGGAGTCGATGGAGGGCGCCTTAAGCCCGGGCGACTTCATCTGCCGCAAGTGTCTGGAAATCAGGGAGCTTCAGCTGAGAGTAGCTGAGCTGGAAGCCCAGGTGCAAACACTGCGCTCCATCAGGGACAGTGAGAGGTTCCTGGACAGTATGATGGAGTAGACCCTCACTCCCCTAGGACTCAGTGATACAGCCCATCACTGTATAGGAACCATGAGAGAGGGGTACTGGAGCTATTGGGAGGTCAGAGTTCAGGAACAGGACCACTCCCAGAGGAGCCCAACACACAGCCACATGCTAAAAGTGATTGGGTGACAGTGCGACGGGGAAAGAAGAGGGCTTGTGCAAGGCAGAGCACCCCCAACAGAGTACCGGTCTCAAATCAGTACTCAGCATTAGAAATTGAGAGTGTGGAAACCTCCCGTGAGGACAGCAGTGAACATTCTGTCCAACAGGACAGGGGCATGGATCACACGGGCAACACTGTTCTGATAGGGGATTCAACAGTGCGAGGCACTGACAGGATCTTCTGTCATAAGAATCGTGAGGCTAGGATGGTTTGCTGCCTTCCTGGTGCGAGGGTAGTGGACTTTACCCAGCGTGTGGACAAGATTCTTCAGGGGGAAGGAGAATGTCCAGAAGTCGTGGTCCATGTGGGGACCCACGATATTGGGAAGAAGAGGGCTGAGATACTCCAGGGCGAGTATCAAAAGTTGGGGAACAAACTCAAGGCCAGAACATCCAAGGTGGTGATCTCTGGGTTACTCCCGGTGCCTCAGGCAACGGGGCACCATAATGAAAGGATCAGGCGTATGAACGACTGGCTGGAAAAATGGTCCAGAAAAGAAGGTTTCCGTTTTGTGGACAATTGGGACCACTACTGGGGGAGGTGGGATCATTACCTTGCGGATGGGCGGCACTTAAGCAAGGCAGGGGTTAGCTTCCTGGCCAAGAGATTATCGAATGCTGGGGGGCTAATTTAAACTAGTGGCGAGGGGGATGGGTATCCCAGGATAAACAATAGATTAGGGAATAGAGGAAAAAGACAAGTGGGAAATATAGAGCAGGTACATGTGGACAATTTCCTCAAATGCATGTACCTAAATGCACGTAGCTTAGGGAATAAGGTTGATGAGCTGCAGGTTCAACTGGCCATAGGGGGTTACGATGTGGTAGCAGTAACTGAGACATGGCTCAAGCCAGGACAGGAATGGGAGATAAATATTCCAGGATATAATGTGTTCAGGAAGGATAGAGAAGGAAGAAAAGGAGGAGGGGTGGCAATATTAGTTAAGGATACAATTGTAGCTGTAGAAAGGGACGAGACTCTTGGGGGCCCGACAACAGAATCCATCTGGTTAGAGGTCAGAAATAGAAAAGGAATGGTTACACTGATAGGGGTTTACTATAGACCACCAGAGAGCGGGAAGGAGATAGAAGAGCAGATCTGCAACCAGATCACGGACAGATGTAGGGCGAACAGAGTTGTCATAATGGGGGATTTCAATTATCCCAATATAGATTGGCAAAATAGCAGCGTTAAGGGCAAGGCAGGAGAAAGATTCATCAACTGTGTACAGGAAAATTTTCTTGAGCAGTATGTCTCCAGTCCTACAAGGAAGGAAGCATTGCTGGATCTTGTCCTAGGGAATGAAGTAGGTCAGGTTGAACAAGTTTCGGTAGGGGAGCATCTAGGTAACAGTGACCATAATATTATTAGATTTAGATTACTCATGAACAGGGACAAAGTACAGTCAAGGGTGAAAATGCTTGACTGGAAAAGAGCTAATTTTGATGGGCTAAAGAGGGACCTAGAGTTGGTGGACTGGCAAGTAAGAATGGCAGGTAAAACGACTCATGAGCAATGGGAAATCTTCAAAGATACGATAGCTCAGGGTCTAAATAGATATATTCCCACAAAAGGGAAATGTGCGAGAACCAAGCCAGCCTGGATGACCAGGGATATTTTGTCTAGGATGAAAAAGAAGAAGACGGCGTACGACAATTGGAAGACGCAAGACACTGAGGATAGCAAAGAGCATTATAGAGAATGCAGGAGTGATCTTAAAAGAGCGATAAGACAGGCAAAAAGATCGCATGAGAAGAGGTTAGCGGGTAACATAAAGGGGAATCCTAAAATATTTTATAAGCACATAAAGGAAAAAAGGTTAGTTAAAGGTAGGGTGGGGCCAATCAAAGACAATGACGGCAATCTTGTTGTGGAGGCAGAGGGATGGCTGATGTACTGAACGAGTACTTTGCATCTGTCTTCACAACGGAAACGGATGCCCCAAATGCCACAGTATTGGATGAGAGGGTAGAGGAAATAGATCAGATTACTATAGACAGAGAGGAAGTTCTGAAAAGATTGACTGGGCTCAAAATTGATAAGTCACCAGGACCAGATGGGTTTCACCCAAGGTTGCTGTGGGAGATACGGGTTCAAATAGCGGAGGCTTTGGCCATTATATTTCAATCGTCATTGGACACAGGAGTGGTGCCAAGAGACTGGAGAGTGGCTAATGTTACCCCACTCTACAAAAAGGGGCAGAAAGACAAGCCCGGAAATTACAGGCCAGTCAGCCTAATTTAGGTAATAGGAAAGCTACTGGAGACCGTAATCCGGGACAGAATAAATCTCTACTTAGAGGAACACGAGGTAATTAGAGACAGCCAACATGGATTTGTTAAAGGCAAATCTTGCCTAACAAATCTAATAGAATTTTTTGAAGAGGTGACTGCGAGGGTTGATGAGGGAAATGCGGTGGACATTATTTACATGGATTTTAAAAAGGCTTTTGACACAGTACCGCATAAGAGGTTAATAAAAAAACTGGAGGCCCACGGTATTAAGGGGACAGTAGCCGTTTGGATTAGGAACTGGCTGAGTGACAGAAGCAGAGG